TCTACTTCAGGATGCCAATGAATACACAGCATCTGCCTGCAAGACTTGGACGTACAGCAAAGTTGAACTCCCCTCAACCCGAAACCCTGAGCCCTAAACTGTCGCCCTAAACCCTAAACCGCATTTGGTCCTACAACACCTTTTGCTGTAACTCGGCCCAGCAGCATGGTCCTTCAACAGCAATAAGGCCGAGGAGACCTGCTCGGGGCTTCCTTGCAGTTGCTGCTGCAGATCTTCGTATGCAGCAGAGTCGAAGATTTCCGTCAATGGATTCCTGGGTCAGTCGGTTTTGGGTTTGTGAACTTACGGTACAGGGAGGGGGTTTTTGGGTTTAAGGCCAAAAGGCCTGCCAAAACAAAAAGTGCCTCAATGGACTGTCTTGGGGACCTTTGTTTTCTCGATTGAGGATGTCAGCTCATGTGTTCATCGTAAGCTTTGTAAATATGCCCGCCTGGGATTACCTGTAGGTGTATGTGTGTGTGTGTACACCCTGATTCTAAGCTAAGGGCTTGGATCTCGCTTCCTCACTGAGCTGTTTGCAGGAAAAATGTATACAGTATAATATATAATATAATATAATATAAGATAATATAAGATAATATAACATATAGAATACAATGTAATGTAATATGACACAATACAGCATAATTTTACTCTGCTCTCATGATTTTGAAATTATCATAATAATAAGACTAATATATACATTTACAGATATACAAATATATACACACATATGTATCTATTGACATATACATATCAATATAATATACATATATATATATACATATATAACAAAGGGAAGGTTCGGCAGAGGGCAGAAGGTCTCATTTCATGGCCTCTGCCAACGAAGCTCCGGCGTTTGAGACAGGTAAACGTACTTGCAATGCTCAACATGGGCACCAGGGCGCAGCTTGTGACCGTAGTATGCACATAGCGTGCATTACATGTCATTCTTTTGCAATGTGATTAAAGGTTCGGTTCTGGCACCTATCGCGTTTTACGTTGCGGGCTTTCAGCTACCCCTTATTAGGTTAAGATCTTCACCCTCACTACAAATCTCACCAAAAACGGAAAGTGCGAATACCCTCCCCAGTCCATGCGCGCGCGCGCGCGCGCGCGCGAGGGTGCGTGTGTGTGTGGCCACTACCGAACTGCACGAGGGAGACTTGTTGCATCATGCAGGGGCACACGGCATCTGCAACCTACCGCGTGCAACGAAGCTACGGTTGCAGATGGGATATCCAGCCTGATCAGCTGGACGTACCTACGCAGTGTTACGTTACATCATGTATCATCTTCGCTGTATATTGCCGCAACAATCGCTGTTGTCCACTAGCGTCCTCTAGTACCAGCATCTCGGTCTGCAACTTATGCACCTTGGCTTTTAAGATGAAGGCGGCGATCTCGCATCGAACAGCCAAAGAACACGCCAGTGTGTGTGTGTGTGTGTGAAAACGAAGAGAGGAAGACCTGCCCTGAAACACTAAACTCACCGAGTTTAAGACACGTACATCTCCCCTGCAGCCTGACGTCCAAACGCGGCCAACTGCAATTGGACCTGCGCAGCTGGGTGAGCCGGGCGGGGGTTTACCGCGAAGCGCAGACCTGCCAACCCTCCGGTGCACTGCTAACCCAATCAAGAACTTAAGGCATGAATTTTCTGCAACATGCCGGACAGAACAGACGTAAGCATCACCAAATGAAGCCTCAACCAGAACCCCCGCTCTCCGAAGCTTAGGCCCCCAAGCCGTTGCTGGCCCAGGGTTTCGGTGCCGGGCTCGCCAGCGCCCTCTGCGAGGCGCGCTTCCTAGGTTACAGAAAGAGAGAGAGAGAGGGAGAGAGAGAGAGAGAGAGAGGGAGGGAGGGAGAGAGAGAGAGAGAGAGGAAGGGAGTAGAAGTATAAAGTATGAAGTAGTAAGTATTAGGCATTACGTATTGAAGAATAAGTTTTAATTTAAATTTCTGGGGAGGGGTTAAGTAGCAAGTATCTATTTTTCATCTCCAGTATTAAGTACGCATTATAAGCATAAACAAACACGTGAATGTATGTACTATATATATATACATACACACATGTATGCTCGGATACATTTATCAAAATTAGACTTGTGGTTACTTGTATGTTTGTGTCTATGGTTTCTATTCGTTTACAAATTTCTTTAACACCTATCAATTTACATGTATATTTGCATGCGTATTTAGAAGTACGTGAATCGGCTAGATATGTATATATAGAATATACATATGTGCAAATATCGTGATGTGCATGAATACACGAGGCATTTAGCATATGTGTTGCATTGTTACTGGCATCATCATCATCATCACCATCATCATCATGGGTTTTGCAGGTTTAGGGGCCTCCTTCATATGGGGCTTCAACAAAGAAAAGAGAGCAAGGGGGAGTCCCAGCTTCCGACGGAGCCGGCGGGCGGCGCTGGTGCTGAGCTTGGCCTCAAAAAACATCTTCTGGCTGGCTCTTAGTAGGGAATGAGGGAAGGAGGTAACCCACATAGCCCCTTTAAGGGTATACATATATATATATATATATGTATATGTAGGGCCCTACTTCCCCGATTCCCTACTAAGAACCTGGGATTCTTTATGGGCATGGGGCTTATCAGGCTTGAGAGGAAGCGCTTGAATTATCAAAGAACACAGGGACGGGGCCCCTCATTCAGAACAACGCTTCCTTTTGAGGGTCTGACGGCTGGACAGAACCTTGAAACTCAATCTTTTCACTCCTCAACCCTCAACCTGAAGACTCCAAATCTACAACCCTGAACCCGCCGACGTTGTCGAGGTGCCAGGCCCTCAGCGCGATCAGCCTCGGAGGCGGTGTCGGGCGGCGAAGGCAGCTCCCTCCTGAAAGCGGGTTGTCGGGGTTGCGGGGTTCAGAGTTTTCAGGGGTTTTAAGAGGATTTCTTTGAGGGTTGGGGGGGGGGGGGGGAGGGGATTCAGGTTTTGAGAGCTGAGGGTTTGCAATGGTTTGCAGCTGCCAAGGTGCTGGGCTGCGCCATGTTCATCCTCACCTCGGCGCTGTCTCGTGGGTGTTAAGAGTTTAGGGGCTTCGGGTTTGGGATGTTTTCCCCCTTATATTGTTACGGATTCGAATACCCCCCTATTAGAATCCCTATGGAGGACTGTCAGTATAAGGGGGAACATCCCAAGTTTCGGGCTTGGGTGGGCCAGCCGGGATTGGATCTCCGGCGTTGGTGGAGTCTGTTTCGGTGTAGAAGTTCCAAGTCCGGTACTTTTTCCCTCCCCCAAAAGCAAAAAAAGTTAAGCTTTGCCTACTGGATCCTGCAGGGCCATAAAGGATCACGACGTAGTCTCCAATCATGGAGCCAAAGTTCACAAGATCTCGGTTTTTGCTGCAGAATTTGCTTGGCGGAGTGAAGAAGCGAGGCAGTAGCGAAGGGCCCTCCGCACCTTTGGCCCTGACAACGCCCCCCTGCCCCAAACTGGTCGCCGAGATGCTGCAGGTGCTGCTGCCGACCTTGGCAAGGGCACATCACGGCTCTGCTGCCTTCTTCACAGTGCAAGCGTGCCTGATTGTGGACTTGCGGCATCTTGAAGGGTACTTGGGGGTGTCCAGGCCTTCTGTAACTTGGTGAAGAGTTTGCGAAACTTCCAAGGCTTGCATAGTGTCCACCATAGTGTCCACGCACACGAGGCTCGACATCCGAGGCTGTGACGCCGGGAGCGTGCACAGGCTTCAGGACTGGGGTGAGCTGCATGTTCGGGTGCAGGATCTCCTCTGCCCATGGTGGTTCTGGGCTGCGGCGCTCGTTTTGTTATGAGCTAGCTCTTGGATTGGGGGTCATGTTTCTGTGCTGCAAAAAACCATTTCATGAGGATGGGCCTGGACTTCGGGACTTCGGGCGGTTTGAGGTGCAGTGTAGCGTAGGGCTTAGGGCGGGTGATGGTGGGTGGAATGGGAACCACTGCCACGATTTTGCCCGAAAGCCCGCGAGGACCCCAATCCATGACGCACATACCTGCGGAACGGGCGGTTGAAGAGCCACCTGCGGTGCGAACCTGAGGTTTGGAGGGTAAAACTTGCGGTCAGAGTTCAGGGTTTGTTTGGCGGTTAGGGGTTTCCATTGCTTTGGAATGACATGCCGAGATTGCTTTCGGGCAGGCGACATGTGTTTACAAGGATTGCGCGTCAGGGCTTCAGAACCATAGTGTTGTGGGCACTGGCAGGCCCCGAGTCTGTGCCGAAACCTTGCAAACCGCAGAAACTTTTCAATAGCCCTAAAGCACCCTCAAGCCTCCAACAACAGCTCAGGGACCTTGAGAACGTGTATGCAAGAACCAACAAGCTGTGACAGCCTCCGCCCCCCCCCCACCTACCTCGACATCGCGGAAAGGATGGAACCAATGACCAATGACCAAACACCAAACTTCAAAAAGCAAATGCACCGAGCTGCTTCTCCGTCTGGCACATCATGGACGGCTGCGTTGCGGCATAGGGAAACTGGCCCGCCGGCACGAGCATGGCAACTACCTGACAACTCCACTCAATGTGGGGCTCAAGAGTCCATGAGGTAGGGGGGTGGTAGTGGGGGGGGTATAGTACGGGGGGGTAGTTGAGAGGGAGGTAGTGGCGAGGGGGGGGGTAGCAAGGGGGAATCCGCCTGAGGCACACATTGTTGCTGTGACTGCGGTGGCATGGGGGCCGGCAACGAATGCAACTCGGCGTTTGCGCCGTATTGCATCGTGGGGGTGCAGAACGGAACCGCCACCATTAGGGCAGAAGAGCACCGCAAAGAGAATGCGACCCAACGTTTATTGTACAGCTGGCTTGAGCCAAAATTTCACCAATCGATGCGTGACCTTGACCAGGGGCACGTGGGTGATGATATCGCTTCCGATGCAAATCAGCACGACCACTGCACATGCACCTGTCACTGAGGCAAGTGCCACCTCACTGTCGACAGCTGATGGAGAGCAGTTGCGCTAAGTGCAGCCGTTTGGCAACCCCTCTCCCCAGCCTCTTCGAAGAACACCTGCAGAATCTCTACTCGACACAATTCTGTCAACTGAGGACCATGCAACCCTAAATTTTCCCCTCAATGTCGCAGAGTCATGGGTTGCGGCCTGGTCCTTCGCAATGGGCCACAGGCTGTAGCAGCACATGCCCTTCAACCCGGCGGGATCAGCATGGACCTATCCGGACTCAAGGTGCAGTTCTCACGCATACTGTCCTTTGATGTTCTTTGGGCCAGCAGCTGGGTGATGACTTCTTCTCGGTCACCCTCTCCAACTAAGTTTTTTCGGCCGGGGCCCCAACTAGCAGACTTGTAGGTCTGACAAAAGATTAAAAGTCTAACAGAGTGTAGATATTCAGATATACCTTCAAGTTTCCTATTGATGGGATAGAGATTAGATAGCATTTCTTCGGGACTCAAGACCTCAACCTTCACTAAAACCCGAAAACCCCAAGACCCTGAAGCCACCCCCAAACGCTGCTAAGGCGGGGCACGCAAGCGTTCGCATTTTACTACGACAAGTCAAGACCCAGCCCTGTTTCCCGGAGTCACCCACTTCATGGCCTGGATCCCTTCCATGACACCGGGGCCAAGAGCGCAGCTTTTGATGGGTGAGAGGCATGCTGGCTTTGGGGAATGAGTTTAGGGTTGTTGCAGTGGCACATCTTAGGACACATAAAGCTTCTAAACTCTATAAGCCGGTCGAGTTTTTGACTTATGTAGGGTCAAAATAAACCTTGCTCGTCTGCATCGAGCCCAGTGAAAGCTGCAGGTTGTTTAAAGCAACGTGCAACTGCAGGCTAAGTTCACGGCTCCAGAGCAGCAAAAAGCTGCAAAGCAAAATTGCCCCTAACGCATGATAGATATAATGGTGAGTATAAGGCCCTGTTTTTCATTCAGCAAAAAAGTGCATGGGTTCCAAGTCAACTGCCTTGCTCACACCGGCAGCCTCAGCCCTAAGACCTAAACCACAACGTCGCACGTGGACGAGCGGAGCTGCACACTCCCAACGCCCTATGAGACCTGTAGTCCTCAAGTCCCAAGATGTCCTAAGCCCCATGAACTCGGTAAGCCGCAACGAACATCGTTCTCACACACAAGGCGGTGCACACGAAAGGCTGTTTTGCTAGCCGGCAACACCAAAGAGGTCCAGGGCGCCATCTGGCTTACGAAAAGCCTCAAATCTCAAAGAGGCTTGACAAGCTGTAGGGTGATAGACAAGAAAAGGCTCGCCCTTCGCAGGGCGCATTGCTCATCCAACTCTTGGCCGCCAGTACCACCTCCGGGCTGTGGGGCCCCTTATCAAGAATGCGCTTCGAAATGGGAATTGACCTGAACTATGGGTCCTTCTTGGAACCCTACACTGTAAGGACCCAACACTGCTAGACCAAAACAAGGGCCCGTGACTTCGGTCAAACCCCCACATGGGCGCTGTGTCAACTCCAGGGCACCCAACGAAGCCTGGAACGGTAGGGCTCGAGCATCTGCTCAAAGCTTTAGCCGCACTAGCGGATGTTGGCTTGGGATTCAAGGTGTCAAAGGTACAAAGCTTTGTGGCCCCATTTGGCCGAAGCGGAAGGCCTCACTCACCAAGACGTTCAACACTCTGAGATGTACAACTGGCGCGCAATCACAGGCAACCTACTTTTTGGTATCCCAGAGCTATGTATCACCATGCCTCTTCTACCGAGCAAAGGGTGAAGTAGCACTAGCACTGAACTCGCAAAGATCCACCGGGCCCCGCCGAATCCCGAGGCCTCTTGGGTTTGCGATGGCTCGTGGCTTAGGCTTTCGGCTTCTCGGGTTTAGGGCTGACGTCTGCCTAGACGCCCTGGTAGCCCTTGTAGTCTCTTTGAAGCTGCATGCAGAGCCCGTTGCCAAAACTGTGACCCGGACATGCTCATGTGATCCCAGGCCCCAAAGCAACGAAGACGCTTCTGCACTTTGCGACGAGCGTGCGCATGAGACGGCGGAGCCAAAACGACACAAGCCACGACAGCTCTGCACTTCGCGAGAAGCGACTGGGGCGGGAGCACGAGTTCGAAACGTGCCAAGCGCAAGTACCCTTTCAAAAGCAGAAAGGGACGGGTTCGCTGGGGCCGGATGCACGAAGCGCATCCGCTCAAAAGCGCGAGGTAGTCTTCGCGACATCGCGCGATTGAAGTGCCAAACTGTGTGGGACTGTGGGACTGAGGCGGGAGCACGACTTGGATCACTGCACAGTGGACTTAGGCGAGAAGGAGATTTGCCACACAGGACTGCAACGCCACGATTCCCTCGCCTACGGCAGCGCCTCTGCGAGAGCGCGATTGCGAAAACGTGCGGTGCTGCACCTCATAGCATTTCCTCTGAAAGGACCCCATGGTGCGCGCGCAATGCTTGGCCATCACATCCAAAAACTATCTACATGCACATGTCATGAACGCCGAGGACGCCGCCTTCGACCTGGACATGAGCGGCCGCGAAAGCCAAGGCACACCAAAACCCACGTCCGGCACGCAACATGGCAGCTACGGAAAAGTTCAGTGTCCCGCCTGTACTCAATGCAGCCGAAACAAAAAGGCTGCGAGCGCGACGATAATGCGTAAAAGTCCTTCTTTTGTTATGGCATGCTTTCTTCCTCTTCCTCCCCTTTGTGAGACTATGATAGACCCTGAGCACCGAAGAATACAGGGTCCGACCCTTTTTCGATTCAATTGCTCGATCTTTCTGGAATCCCTCACCGGGAGCTTGGACCCTCCACATCTGGTGATTCAGGGAATCTTGCGGTTGAGGGCCATGAGCTTCGGCGGTTCGGCGCTTTAGGATCCAGTCTAGAGGGTGAAAAAGCACCACCCCCTTACTCGACTAGTTCTAAACAAAGGTTTGTTTAGGTTGGACTTCTAACTTTTCAAGGGTTGCCATTATTGTGATATTGCTTCCTTTCTTATAGATGAAAATGTGTGGGGTTAGGGTTGAGGGTGTGGAATGTAGGATTTCGAGTGCTGGGCGCAACGTGCAGGGTCCAGAGTCTAGAACTCCTGCTTGCCTGAATAGCTAATCCAGTTCATTGGCACCCTCCGCCCTCTGCCACAAAACCCAGTCAGAATGCTATTGGTGAACGCAAGTACCCGTTTTATCAGAAAGGTGCGCTGTGGGGCCGCATGTTTTCCTGCTGTTGGGGTACGTGCGAATTCATGAACCTGTTTTTGTTCTTGCTCGTTGTTGCTTCGTGTCGGGGATGGGGCGGGGGGGGAGTTGACAAGCTTTATAGGGTGATCAACAAGATAAGAAGTGCGGAGCTTGCGACATAGAGCGTTGCAGTTTAGGCGTCGGGGTCTCTTTTGTGGCATTAAGATGCAACGGCCTGGCGATGGCCTAGCACAGCACAAGCCGAAGCTTTGCAAAGGCCCTTTTCCTTGAAGGCTGAGCCGGAACGCAATTCTGCAACAAGCTCTTCGCCTGTGTCGTAAGCACAAGCAATAAAATAGTTGAAGCTCGACTCATTAGCCTGACGTTGGCCTTAAGCCACCGCTGCAATCGTTCTAAAAACCACGGCATCACCATGCTTGTAGCCGAGTTCTTCAAAAAGCCGGATGATTCTTGGGGGGTTTAGTATCAGAAGGGCCCACAGGTTCGGCTGTGGACTTCGTAGGAGTGGGGCACTAAAGCAGCAGTTTACGCTTTAGGGTTCACAGCGGATCAGGGGCTCTTTCACGTGAGAGTGCTCAGTTCTGAGCTTGCGTCAAGGAGCATGAGCAAGGCGCTACTGTCGCCATTCAGGACTGTCGGCATTCAGGACGCGTGCCGCGACCAAGGGCAGGCAACTCCCACAATCCAAGCACATCGCCTCTATTATCGCGATTCTGAACCGAGAGAAGAGGGGAGGGCAAGCAGTAAGGAGGAAGCTCCAAATTGAACTGATGAAAGTTTTGATAAGCATTCCCCTTGGGATGGTACTCGTTCGACGACCCATTCAATGAAGGCCAATGTGGGATGGCAATGTACTTGGAGCCACTTCTCTCGAAGTTTTGTAAGGCCTTGACGGACAAATCGGAGTCGAGGTGGATGAAGACATCACGCGTATGGATCATGTCGACTTTAGGTGGGATCATGCAAGTGATGTCGAACACCGCAAACTTGTTGGCGAACCTTGGATCCGACACGAAGGATCGAAGGTTGTCTGCCACCAACGATGCGGAAATGTCACCACCTCGGCTGGGCAAGAGATTTCACGCACCTATGGTTTGGATGGCTCACTTAACTTAACTCTGCTCCGTTCAGGGGCCATACAGGAAGTGGAAATGGCATCCTACATGTCAAGCAAAATGCCCATGTACTCAACGCCCGTCAGGTTGACTGCGGGCATCCAGGTCATGTCTCCACAAGGCACATCCAGGAATGTGCGGACTCCAAGTTCGTCGAAGACCTTGCGAAGAAAATGTCGGACCTGGCCCCGCACAGCAATCTACTCGCTTAGCTACAGACCCGAATTCTTAAGCCTCGGAAATGGGTTTGGGGTTGGCCATAACCATCATCACGTTTGTCATCTTGAGGCCGACGGGGAAACCTTGCCAATTGCGGCACGCCGACATTGACGGTGGCTGTCAAACTGGAGCCTGGGCCCGAGGGCTGCGTGCCTCCTTTGCCTGGATTGCTGTTCAAGAACTTCAACTATACGTCTAGGGTTCAGGGTTCTTCGTGTTTCGGTGTTTCGGGATTGGGAAAGTAAGTTCGACTTTATGTTCCCTAACAGCAACCCTGTTGCTTTGCGACGCATCTCGGGACCACGTCTTCATCCGTCCAGCCATGGTCGCATCCCACGCCTCGACCCGCGTCCTCACGGGGGGGGTCTTATCAAAATTCCGGGGGATTCCGGGGGTCTCTGTGATCACATAGGGCTCGTAGTACCCGTAGCGTGCATCAAAGGAGAACATGCCAGAAAGCCTCAAACCGTGCTATGCGCAGATCCCACGCTGCCTCTCCGTCTCGGTCGTTTGGCACTCATTCCTCGTGCGGGAAGCCCAGGCCTGTCAAAAATGTCACAGTTTCATTGGGATGACGAGGGGCTGGGGCGGCTGGCCATTTAACCTTCGCAGCGTAAATTCTGGCCCTAAACCCTATAACTATACAATCGTCGCTTGCAACCTCCCCCCTGGCACGAGCCCTTCATGCATGGCCTTCTGCTCCCAAGGAAGTCCTAGGAGGCGGTTCTGAAGTCCCTCAAACTAGCGGGAAGGGCCACTCAGAAGCTAGTAGCTGCAAAAGACCCCTCCGAACCTCCCTTCTAGGACCGAACTGCACCTCCTGGTGCTTTCCCGAGACACGTAGCAATGAAGTTAAGGCACCCAAAAAGGTCTTCACATACGGCTCCGTGTCTAAAGCAAGCCCTATCGCTTGTTTTGATTTCTTTGCCGGTTTTACAAGGGAAACAGGCAAATCACAGTTAGCGCGGTGATCATGCCGCACAGTAGTATGCCAACATTGAAACCTTATCGTTTGCAAACATGTTTTCACCACCACCCCCCCCCCCCCCCCCACCACCACTCAACCCCCCCTCATCCCTGCCGGTCGGCGGCGCTGCAGTAGCCATTAGCAGAACCGGGTGGGGGGTTGGGTTGCGTCTAAGCCTTGCCGAGTGGAGCATCGATGCCGGGGCTGTCAACTGCTGGAATAGCCTTGGCTGCAACTTGCTGGTTCTTGCTTGACACACGTGACTTGTCACCTGACTTACACCTCACTTAAGAACAGGTTTAAGCTCAAGAAGGATTCCCACCTGGCTCCCTAGTTCCCACATAAGAATCGGCTGTTCATCCAAGAGGCATCGCTGAGTTGCAGGGCGCATTGCTCATCCAACTCTTGGCCGCCAGTACCACCTTCGGGCTGTGGGGCCCCGCGCTTCGAAATGGGAATTGGCCTGAACTTTGGGTCCTTCTTGGAACCCTACACTGTAAGGACCCAACAAGGGCCCATGACTTCGGTCAAACCCCCACATGGGCCCTGTGTCAACTCCAGTGCACCCAACGAAGCCTTGAACGGTAGGGGATTCAAGGTGTCAAAGGTACAAAGCTTTGTGGCCCCATTTGGCCGAAGCGGAAGGCCTCACCCACCAAGACGTTCAACACTCTGAGATGTACAACTAGGCAACCTACTTTTTGGTATCCCAGAGCTATGTATCACCATGCCTCTTCTACCGAGCAAAGGGTGAAGTAGCACCTGCTCCGCACTAGCACTGAACTCGCAAAGATCCACCGGGCCCCGCCGAATCCCGAGGCCTCTTGGGTTTGCGATGGCTCGTGGCTTAGGCTTTCGGCTTCTCGGGTTTAGGGCTGACGTCTGCCTAGACGCCCTGGTAGCCCTTGTAGTCTCTTTGAAGCTGCATGCAGAGCCCGTTGCCAAAACTGTGACCCGGACATGCTCATGTGATCCCAGGCCCCAAAGCAACGAAGACGCTTCTGCACTTTGCGACGAGCGTGCGCATGAGACGGCGGAGCCAAAACGACACAAGCCACGACAGCTCTGCACTTCGCGAGAAGCGACTGGGGCGGGAGCACGAGTTCGAAACGTGCCAAGTGCAAGTACCCTTTCAAAAGCAGAAAGGGGCGCTGGGGTTCGCTGGGGCCTGATGCACGAAGCGCATCCGCTCAAAAGCGCGAGGTAGTCTTCGCGACATCGCGCGATTGAAGTGCCAAACTGTGTGGGATTGTGGGACTGAGGCGGGAGCACGACTTGGATCACTGCACAGTGGACTTAGGCGAGAAGGAGATTTGCCACACAGGACTGCAACGCCACGATTCCCTCGCCTACGGCAGCGCCTCTGCGAGAGCGCGATTGCGAAAACGTGCGGTGCTGCACCTCATAGCATTTCCTCTGAAAGGACCCCATGGTGCGCGCGCAATGCTTGGCCATCACATCCAAAAACTATCTACATGCACATGTCATGAACGCCGAGGACGCCGCCTTCGACCTGGACATGAGCGGCCGCGAAAGCTAAGGCACACCAAAACCCAAGTCGGGCACGCAACATGGCAGTTACGGAAAAGTTCAGTGTCCCGCCTGTACTCAATGCAGCCGAAACAAAAAGGCTGCGGGTGCGACGATAATGCGTAAAAGTCCTTCTTTTGTTATGGCATGCATTCTTCCTCTTCTTCCCCTTTGTGAGACTATGATAAACCCTGAGCGCCGAAGAATACTGGGTCCGACCCTTTTTCGATTCAATTGCTCGGGCGCTTGGACCCTCCACATCTGGCGATTCAGGGAATCTTGCGGTTGAGGGCCATGAGCTTCGGTGATTCTGGGCCTTGGGATCTATATATAGACTGCCAAAGGAACAACCCCCCTGATCTACTCGTTCTAAGCAAAGACTTTTTAGGTTGGACTTTGAACTTTTCGGGGGTTGTGTTAAGCTAGGGCTCCTGCTTGCCTGAATAGCTCATTTAGCTCATGGGCGCTTTTGGGGAGGAAAGTTAGGGAGAACCTTGGTCGCCTGTCTCGAACCAATGAAACAAGCTGCATTTTGCGCAGAGACGATGTAGCGACGGCAACGCGTCCACAGCAGAAAACTGAAATGCAGAGACACAATCGTTCCTTCCCCCTTGGACCTAACGCATGAAAATGTCGCCTCTACCGCCGTCTTGTTCTTGGGGGGTAGGGGATTAAGACTAAGGCGTTACCACTCGGTACTCGGACCGTCGTCCACACACTGGCCATCTGCCGACATGTCTGCAGAATGAGATGTTCCTCGTGGATGGGCATCCTGAACCCTAATTAACAAATAGCCCCGATGAACCCTGTGAACCGTGGTTTAGGGTTTAGGGTTTAGGGTTTAGGGTTTAGGGTTTATACGGGTTTAGGGTTCAGGGTTCAGGGTCTTCCAAGGCCTCCAACAACCCAAGGGAAGCCCCAAGAGCACATTACCCCTCACAAGATGGCAGCGAAGGCTGTTTCGCTAGCCCGCAACGCGAAAGAGGTCCAGGGCTCCATCCGGTCTCAAGAAACCTCGCTATCCAGGGGTTTAGGGTTGACAGACTTTGGGGGTGATATGGATGATTCCACATGCGGGATGTCAGAAATTTACTTGACAGGGATCCGGGGTCTACGGTATCGAGTTTACGGATTGAAGACTGCTTGCGCTGAAGACTCTACAGCTGCAGGGTTGCGGCTTCTGCTGTGCAATAACTGAATAAGAATGCACTACGAGCACGCGCGCGCTAAGTTTAACAAACGCCACACAATCCCAGGCAAGAAAAGGCGCGCCTTCTATGCCATGAGTTGAAATTTAAGGCTTTGTGCAAAACCCTAAGTGCTAAACCCTCAATCTCACACACCCTCAAAAGTGCGCATCGATCGAGACGCTTGGGGTCTCCAGTAGTGTCCCTCAATCTCACACACCCTCAAAAGTACGCATCGATCGCGACGCTTGGGGTCTCCAGTAGAGTCCCTCAATCTCACACACCCTCAAAAGTACGCATCGATCGAGACGCATTGGGGTCTCCAGTAGAGTGGAAAGTTAGGGAGAACCTTGGTCGCCTGTCTCGAACCAATGAAACAAGCTGCATTTTGCGCAGAGACGATGTAGCGACGGCAACGCGTCCACAGCAGAAAACTGAAATGCAGAGACACAATCGTTCCTTCCCCCTTGGACCTAACGCATGAAAATGTCGCCTCTACCGCCGTCTTGTTCTTGGGGGGTAGGGGATTAAGACTAAGGCGTTACCACTCGGTACTCGGACCGTCGTCCACACACTGGCCATCTGCCGACATGTCTGCAGAATGAGATGTTCCTCGTGGATGGGCATCCTGAACCCTAATTAACAAATAGCCCCGATGAACCCTGTGAACCGTGGTTTAGGGTTTAGGGTTTAGGGTTTAGGGTTTAGGGTTTATACGGGTTTAGGGTTCAGGGTTCAGGGTCTTCCAAGGCCTCCAACAACCCAAGGGAAGCCCCAAGAGCACATTACCCCTCACAAGATGGCAGCGAAGGCTGTTTCGCTAGCCCGCAACGCGAAAGAGGTCCAGGGCTCCATCCGGTCTCAAGAAACCTCGCTATCCAGGGGTTTAGGGTTGACAGACTTTGGGGGTGATATGGATGATTCCACATGCGGGATGTCAGAAATTTACTTGACAGGGATCCGGGGTCTACGGTATCGAGTTTACGGATTGAAGACTGCTTGCGCTGAAGACTCTACAGCTGCAGGGTTGCGGCTTCTGCTGTGCAATAACTGAATAAGAATGCACTACGAGCACGCGCGCGCTAAGTTTAACAAACGCCACACAATCCCAGGCAAGAAAAGGCGCGCCTTCTATGCCATGAGTTGAAATTTAAGGCTTTGTGCAAAACCCTAAGTGCTAAACCCTCAATCTCACACACCCTCAAAAGTGCGCATCGATCGAGACGCTTGGGGTCTCCAGTAGTGTCCCTCAATCTCACACACCCTCAAAAGTACGCATCGATCGCGACGCTTGGGGTCTCCAGTAGAGTCCCTCAATCTCACACACCCTCAAAAGTACGCATCGATCGAGACGCATTGGGGTCTCCAGTAGAGTTGTGACTTACGACAACATGAGAGTCCTTTCATGAAGCCTTGTTCGCACCAATCAAACTTAAAGAGGCGCACAAAACACTAACAAACACCCCCTCCCCCCAAACCCCGCCCGCAGTAGACCCCTGGGCCTGGGCGGCTCTGCACCAGCGTGGACACCGCCGAGAGGACGGCGACCTCCACCTCGGACAGCTCGAAGTCGAGCTGACCTCGGCGGCACAGGGTTTAGCGTTTTGGGGTTTGACAGTGTAGCTTTCAGGGCTTTTTGGGGGGCATGTAACGCTCGCAAGGCTTGGGCCTTTAAGTCAAAGTGTTTTGAAGACTCTAGCCCTCAGCCACAGAACACCTGAACCACCACAAAAATGCCTGAGCCGCTCAACCCAAAGCCACCTTAGACCCCTTAAGCCGTAGTCCTCAGCCCGAAGCCCCCAAAACCATGCCTACATCCCAACTATACTCCCTTAGAACCATAATAGAAATATTATTTTAATTTAATATCCTCTTGGGTGTTATATGAACAAACATATAGAATAATTCCCAAGGGGGATATAGCCAAACCCGGGAAACTCCCAAACTCCTAACCCCAGCTTTCCTCGGGCATCCCGACTGTTTTGGCGGATGTGCTCCGGGCTCCGGCTCCGAGGCAGGACGGCTACCTGAGGCTCCACGGCTTCCAGGGTTTAGGGTTTAGGGTTTAGGGCTTAGAGTTTAGGGTTTAAGGTTTAGGGTTTAGGGTTTAAGGTTTAGGGTTTAAGGTTTAGGGTTTAGGGTTAAGGCCGGGATGGTTAACTCCCAATATAAAGGCCAAAACATTCTTGTGGGCTGTGGCATTCAAGCCCACAAGGTAACCTGCAAAGACGATGTTCAGGGGTTCTTGAGGAGGGGAAGAATGGTCACTGCACCTTCGACCCTACTAAATTCTTCAATTCCCTGGTGCCTTTGCTAAAAGCCTGCAGGGTCCTTAAGGCCTGCAGGGGTAAGACTCCAAGAGGGCACCCAGCGCACGGAACGTTGGGTTGCAGAACCCCCTCCCCCCCAAAAAAGAGACCCGCTGACCTGAAAAGCAGATGCCTCTAACAGATCGTTCCTCTTGTGGTTGAGGGTTTTCTGGGGTTCAGGGTCATTACGCTTACTGCTCACAGACTCATATATCGAATATACGGCTTACCTTTCTTACTATCAATGCCATTCCGACTAGTAATACCAGGCTCAGGGTTTTGGGGCTACTTGGCCCGGCTGCCCCCTGCTGTAGGAGCCAGCGGAGCAACACCTGCCAGGGCAGAAGAAGGGACTAGATGGCTCAGGAATGGACAAACCTTTCTTCATTTTGCATGTGGGAGGGCGTGGGAGGGCGGGGGGGGGAGGGCGGGGCTTCGGCACTTGAGGCAGGCTCAAAGTTTCTTTTGGCGGCTGCAGTGTGAACGACTAACCTTAACACCCTTTCACACCTTGACCCCTAAAACTTTAAGCCAAAAAAAACCTGAACGAAAACCCTAAACCCGGACAGGGCTGCCCCTAAGCAGCTGTAAGATGGATATGGCACATTAGATGCGCTGCTCATTAGCGGTCAACAGCAATCCAATAACCATGGCGTGCCTGGGCCGGGGTCCTACCACGTTTGGAGGCGATGGCCAGAACATGGGGATCCTCCACATGTGGTGCAGTTTAGAAATCATAGGCTTCAGGGTGTAAGGTTTGTGTTTGGGGCTTATGGGGTTTGGGGCAGAACTTAAGCCTCAGGATTCGACTGAGCTGTGAACCAGGGCGGTTCTGGCGACAAACAAACTGCTCACAAACTTGCGCAGACCTGCGCGCGCTGGGTTCTAGCCTATTCGACGCGCTCTCCACAAACCAATTAACAGCTGCGCAAGCATTTCGCGAAGTGTGCGTCGTGACACAAGCCAAAGAAAAGAGTCTGGCCACTGAGGGCACGAGTCACGAGCCTCGCTGTGCTGCACTGCTCTTGCCATCAGCTTGCATAGAGCTGTGATGCGTTGCTGAAGATAGGGTCTCACATGCACGCCTATCCGAAAGCGCAGCTGTGCACAATGCTGCATACGATCGTTTTTAACATAGCGAGTTTTCGGCAGCTGCCTGTGCTCATCATGCAAGCGTTCGACGTCCTGCATGGGGTTCAGGTTGCAAGTTGCGTTCGGATTCAACGAGGAGGCCGCCACCACCTGCAATTCAGCATACATTGAGCCACCCAATCAGAAGCCGTGTGTTTTTCCCTGCCCTGACGGAGAACATCTGTCCGGTGCCGTAGCCCGACAACAAATTTACCCAACCCAAAACGCTAAACCCTGAGCCCAAACCACTTCTACTGGCACAACTCCGCAAACCGCTGCAATCCTAAACTCGAAGCTCTAAAACTTGATAGAGATTACACGATTCACGGCTTAGGGGTCCGGACTTGCCCTGGGAGACTTTTAAGCCCACAGTGAACTGCTGCAGCTCAGGGCACGGTGATCCCTGTCCCTCGAAGCCAACGCAAGAAAGAGGGACTGCACGGCTCGTACACGGAGAACTGAATCCTCAAGCGCTTATGCTTTGGAGTCTTCAAGGTTGGGGTTATTTCAAGATTTAGATCTGTAGTTCGTGTCGGGCAGGTTGGGGCTTACAAAGCTGGAACTGGAACCCCAACACTGTCTTTATGGCTTTTGCCTCCGGTCTTTAGGGTCTGGGCTTGCTGGCTTGCCCTGCTACGATGCATGAAGAAAAACAACGCCCATCTGGCATGAGAGTACGAATCAAACACTGCAGCGAAGGATGTACAGAACGCTGGAAATCCCAGAAGCCCGTGTGCCACGGCCAAACACAACTACATAGCCTTCTTCTCCCATTGCTTGGAGGCCCGTACGCCGTACTCCAATCTGCCAATATCCATTCCAAGATTAGCCCTGAGCCTTCTGGCGGTGGAGAAGTTCATGATCCTAAACCCTAAACCCTGAACCCCTCTACCCTAAACCCCTAAACCCTAATTGCTATGCCCTTTCGTGCTTGGTCCCACCACCGAGGTGCTGAAGGGCCACGGGCTTCACTCGCGCCCGATGCATGAGCTCCTCAATCTGAGCCTGGCGCTACTGATATAGCTTTGTACTACTTGGTGTTGGTTCCGAGGTACTTTTTAACAGGCCACCCCTTCCAAGAATCACCAAGGTGCACGCGCACGCACACGCACGCGCCCGCACCCGCACCTACATGTGTGCGCCCACACGCACGCACACACGCACGCACACACCCACACACCCACACACCCACACACCCACACACCCACACACCCAAACACCCAAACACACAAACACACAAACACACAAACACACAAAGACACAAACACACAAGCACACAAACACGCAAACACGCAAACACGCAAACACGCAAACACGCAAACACAAACACACCAACACACAAACACACAAACACACAAACACACAAACACACAAACAAACAAACACACCACAAACACACAAACACACAAACACACAAACACACAAACACACAAACACACAAACACACAAACACACAAACACACAAACACACAAACACACAAACACACAAACACACAAACACACAAACACACAAACACACAAAAACACAAACACACAAACACACAAACACACAAACACACAAACACACAAACACACAAACACACAAACTCACAAACACACCAACACACAAACACACAAACACACAAACACACCAACACACAAACACACCAACACACAAACACACAAACACACAAACACACCAACACACAAACACACCAACGCCAACACTCCAACACCAACACACCAACACCAACACACCAACACCAACACACCAACACACCAACACCAACACCAACACCAGCACCAGCACCAACACCAACACCACTTTTGCCTGACCGAAGTTGCTGAGACCCAATTGGCGGCAGCGACCTGACCGCCAGAGCCAATGCTGTTTCCAGGGTTGCTTCTGAATGCTTCGGGGTTGTAGGGCTTCTGTGGGCTTCTGGTCGACGAGGATCTACAAAAACATGCATTCGTGTGGCCAAACTGTTCGCGGATCAATGCTGCTATCCTCCCCCCCCCCCTGCCGGAATCCACATGGCTTCGTGCGAGCGTCATCGAACAAAGCGAAATCCAACCACAGCTTCAGGCTAGCAGGGCACAGCTGCCCAAATCACTTCCTTGAGTCATGATGCCCATTCGCCCCTCACCATCCTCACTTGGGACCGAGGGTTCACCCAGGGTTTTTCAGACTTCCAACGCTCTCCAGATCGAACGCCTTTGAATAGACCTTAAAGAAACCACAACTCTACACGTGCCCGCAGAGCCGCAGAGCTTGCAAAAATCCGTCATGTCATTCATTGCACGTCAAGGCGTAGCCGGGTTTAGACGATCGAGTAGTGGCTTCACTCTCGTTCCACTAGGAACAGAGGGAAAAGCTGTTGTCGACTCGAACGCCTGCGCCCCAATAGAATTGTTGATTGTTTCGGATCCGCTTCTGGGTATCTTCCCCACCAAAGCAAGACCCACAACCCCCGCATGTCCAGACTCTAAACCCTGCACAGAAAAGCTACAAGCACCTCTGTGGCCCCCGCCCTCATCGTGGAGACGCTCCAAGGCCCTCCAAGGGGGCAGGCTATCGTCCGAAGGGAAGTGGAGGTAGCCTGGGGAGTATAGAGGGGTTCATGGATGTTGGCGTTTGGGGCAAGTGTGTCAAGGGATTAGAGGTTGACAGCCCGATTCCACTGCTCAAAAGGGAGGTTTTGGATACGCTCCGAAACACTCGAGCCCTCGACCACCTCAATCCCAAATAGCAGATCATATCCGGCGATCAAGGTGCGCGACGAGGCCATGCGACCGTCCGAAATGAAATGAAAATGGCCGCTGCCGCTGCCGCTGCCGCTGCCGCTGCCGCTGCCGCTGCCGCTGCCGCTGCCGCTGCCGCTGCCGCTGCCGCTGCCGCTGCTGCTGCTGCTGCTGCTGCTGCACAGAAAAAACACATGCGGCCCCCATACCTACTGTAAGTCTTGTCCGGTTTGGGGCGCGGCCGGCTGTGGGCGACGGCCCATTTAAAACCCCTGAACCTGAAACTTGCCGAAACCCCTGACTGCCTGAGCCCTAAACCGTAAACAGAAAAGCGGTTGAGGTGAGGCACAGAGGTCGGCGTAGGCCGTCGGCCAGAAGCCATCCAGCTCCGCCTAAGAATGGTGAAGACTGCCGATGCTGCCGTTTACGGTATACAGGCTTGGGGGAACTACACTCCCTCTTGTCCTCACGTACATAATCTGCACCCTTGGGCGGCACACCCCACCTGTAGCGCAGCATAGGCTGCTCTTTCGTCCAGGTTGGTCGTGGACAGCTTCCTCGACAGTAGTTGCGGCTCTTTTGGGCGGTTTAGGGCTTGGGGGGAATTTAGGGCTTGGTGTTCTTAGGGTTTGGAGCTTAGAAATCGTTTGCAAAGAGAGACGAAGTGCACGCGTGTGATTAGGCTTTGGCCTTGGAAGCAAACTGCTTCATAGAAGGCCCCTTGAAGACGGGAGAGTTTTCTGCAAAGGCTCACCTTGAGGGACCTGCTAGTCTGGGTGGAATGCCCTGTCATTGGGGGAATCTAGGCCTCTCATTTGCAGGGTATGGGGGTTGCAGAGGAGCCGTTTGACGATCTAAGCTTTATGGATGCAAACAACCCTAAACCCTAAACCCGAAACCCTGAACCCTAAACCCTGCTGCGCAAGTAAAGTTAAGCGAACTCTGCCTCGGCAAAATATATGGAGGCTTCCGAAATTGAGGGTACCTTACCTGGGGTCTTTTTTTAAGGGAATCCCATTGTTTGGGCTCTATTTTCAGGGCCCCCTATTTGTGCAAACCCATATGGCTACATCAGCTTAACGATTGATGGGGGTCGCGGATTTGATTTCCTGCTACTCAGAACCAAAAGCGGGGGTTGTTCGAAACAATGGTCCCCTTCCTGAGTCTCTAGTGCAGTCTTTACAGCTTCAGAGCTACGGAAAAGCTCAAGAATTTGGGCAATACCCAGGGTTGAGGAGGTTGGTTTAGGGTTCCGGGAACAGCCCAGTGGCGTAGCCAGGTAGATCGACTCGCGGGGAACCTTGCAAGCAAACCGACGAACCAGCGATCAAGGTTTGGAGATGAGCATTTCTTAGCTGAGTAGCTCAACAGCAGCTTGAATGGCCAAAGTCCCGGCCAACACGTCCACAGTCCAGCCCCCCTACGGCTGTACCCCCAACACCCCCGCCTACTAAACCCTCGACCTCAAGCCCTAGCACAAGGTTCTTCTCTAGGGCAAGTGGCCTTGAACATCCAAACCCGAAACCACACCTGGCCCAGCTGTATTTGGGGAGCCCGAAATCCCTTTGTCTGGCGAATCCCCTCACCAGGCGGCCCGGCCTTGCTGCTCAGTATTGCCCGACCCACCTCGGCTGCGTTGCGGTAGGACTCAGCCTCGGTGGTGGATCAGGGGTCGCAAAGATGTATCTGGGTCTTTGCTTCAGTGTCGCCGGTTTAGGGCTGAGGGTTAAGGGTCGGACGGCTCGGATTGGTGGGTCTTTAGGTGCAGGTCAGGGATGGCCAGAACTTAAGATCAAACTTGGGAAGACAAACTACTGCTAGACCGGACCCCAGGATCTAGCTCAAGAAGCATGCAGCCCACTTTTTGGGCAGGCACTCATGCTAGGCCAAGAATAGGGCCCTGAATCTCGCCAACTGCAACGGCTGATGCCCTTTGGGTTGTTCTTCACGAATGACTCTTTAGGGTTCCTGGAACCCCCCCATTCAACCTATAATCCTCTGCAGTCTCGTATGAATATCACCAAGATTGTCTTGGCCCATGTTCAAGCAAAACACAATGTCAGTGCAGTCATGTGGCTATGCGCATCACATTCCTTCATGTTCACTTTTTTACGCCCACTTACCGCGACTAATATTCCTCCAAAAGCAAAACCCGAAATGAAGTCGCATCAACTCACACGTGCCCCCTGTTACTTGTGTTCTCGCCCTAAGCAAGGTTGAGGGCTCAGGGTTTGGGGTGGAGTTCATAGGAACATGCTGCAGCACTCGAAAGCCCATCACATTCCAACCCGAAACACCAGAGGCACGGGCGGAATCAATGTGGCGCACGCCAGCCTGCATCTAACCCTGGACCCTCAGCCCCCAAAGCGCTCAAGCCCACTCCTATATCGGTCGCAGTCGTTGCCAATGCTTCCCCTCGTGTTCGCACAAAAGAACCTGGTTATGTGGTTGTGCCCCAGCGTGCCCGTCGGCCCCCCACCCACCCACCCACCCGTGGTGTGGTTGTGGGTTGGTTTTAGGGTTCAGGGTTTTAGGGGTTAGGGTTTTGGAGCTTTGGGGCTTTTTGGGCAAAGGCCTGGCGCCCACGGGTTTAGGGTTCTAGGCCTTAGGGTTATCGGGTTTTAGGGTTGGGGTTTCCGGGGTTTTGGGCAGGTTTAGGGGTGGAGGGGGGGTGACCCTGGCGGGGGGGGGGGGGGGTTGGGGGGGGGGGGGGGGGGGGGGAGGCGGGGGGGTGCGAGGGCAACCATTTTTGGGGGTGTATATCCTACTCGGAGTTTGACAGCACATGCTTACCCTGGTTCCCAACCTAGCTCCGAGCCGCGCAAAGACAAGAATCCTTTTCACAGCATCGTGGGTGACGTTTGCTGCAGGATTTAGGTCCCCCCAGAAACGACTCTGTTGGGAGTACTGGGCCCGCATTCACCAAATTATCCCCCCAAACAAGCCCCATCATGGTATGATTCAATGACTGATAAGTTTCTGGGCTACAGGATGCAGTGGAGGGCAGCGGGATGCAGCGGGTCTGCGGGTATCCTGCAAGATCCCGGCTCGCTCAGCCTCCAGCGCCGCCTGAACGGCCAGGTAGCACTCGGACCTCCACGGAACTGGGTATTTTTGGGGAAGTACAGGGATCCCTGAAGGTTCCTAAAAGTTGTGCAGTGAGTCATGGATGTTGAGGCACTTTGTGAAAGCATCTCCAGGCTGGTCAGTGAGGCCAAGGTCGTGTATGTTGTGTTGGTCTCGTGGTGGTGGTAGAGGCTGCCAATGTTCGTTGTGGCTATACGAGCACCATTTCTTTGGAAGTCGCGGCAATCTTGACATCCGAGCGACTACAGAAGCCCGCAAATTGAGAAGAGTGACGATAGTATACTATAGTTGCTTGTGAAGCTTGGAGCTTGGAGCTTGGAACGCAGCCTAACATCCAGGCTCTACGGGTAAGCCCCTGAGCCCCTCGCCCGGCAAGCTCATGCGTGCCAAATCCCACCATCTGCCGCAAGCCTCCGGAGCCAGACTTCGCAGTCCGAGAGGGGCGGGTCCCCCCTTCCCGTGCCCGCGGCCTATCCCCCTGCAGACCCTTACCCTACCTACCTTTGCGGTCACAGATGGTCACAGGCACCGACCCTTCTTTCGCGCGGGGGCCCTTCAAAAACCCTCCAAAAGCGCATCAAAGGGGCTGCAATACTACTTTTCGAGGCCTCCAAACAGCGGGACACCTCCCTAAACCCTCACGGGCGTGCATCATCGACGGTCATGATGCTCTCTCTGGCTGTGCCGAAAAGGCTCCACGAGCAGAAAAAAGCCTTTTCTTAGAGGATTTTCAGGGCAAACGGGTGTTTTGGACGCCTTTAAAAGGTTCACAGGCCCACCCTGCGGATGCTCCTGAAGCGGGCGCGCGCACGCGGACACATGCACAGGCGAACGCAAGCGCAAAAGACAGAGAAAGCGAGAAAACTGAGAGAGAAGCTAACTCCATCTGCAAGGCGCCATGAACACCCAAGGAACACCCCTCAGCCCACAACATAAACCCTCAAACAACCTACAAACCCTCGACCCCAAACATGCTGGGCCGTGCCGGACTCAGGGTCGAGGGCGGGCAGGGCGGCATGCCAAGCCTCCGAGCGGCTCGAGGGTGGGTCAAGAGCTTCGGGTTTGGTTTTAGGGGCTTTTTCTGGGTGTCCCCTGCTATCCCAGAGGTAAATTGCAAAGCTGCATGCCACATATCCAAGGCTTTTGGATCCCTGGCGCCCTAGGTTCCTCCTGAGAGAAGGACTTCTGGTAGTCTTGGGCCGCATCTCGCGTTTGGAGCCCTGTGCCCAGAGCCCAAAAGCCGTGTTTCCATGTCCCGAAGCCCTCAATTCCTCAAAGGTTCGTGACATGCAGGACGTAGGCTCAGGGTGGGACCCGAAGTGAAAAAGAATGTGGGGATTGTTCGACAACGTCCCCTTTTCAGATAGACCTTGCCCACTTACCCCAAAGGGGGGCTAATTCACAACAAGCCCAAGTACAGAAGCTGCTGGGGGCCAGGCGGCTGGCAGAGGCATGAGACCTCAGCGACTTGCAGGTCTTCAAGTAGCCTAAACCCTAAACCCACCCTAAACCCTAAACACTGAGGGGTTCCAAGGCTCAAAGTCTAAGGGGTTGGATCGGCATAACCGCAGCGTGCCCCGCTGGCGGCGCGCCCATTGCTTTGCCTCGAGGCCTGCTGGCGCGCTGCATGAAAATCGCGCTATCGGCTCGTGGCTGAGGACGCCACCCTCGAAAGTTTACACTTCTGGGAATACGAATTGCGGCACTGCCGTCGCTTTCGGACATCTGGGCTCACGAAATGCGACGCTGTCGTTGCTTTTGGACATCTGGGCTCGCGGAAAGAGAATCTGTGATCGCTTTCGGACTTGTGGGCTTTTTATCTCTCGCTGTTTGGTGTCTACACTGGCATAATGTGGACCCATCTAAACACAAGCCGGAAAAAACAAAACATGTCTAGTCTAGGGCCTTCTGCTCAAACTCGTTGTCCTTTATCACTTTGACTCAGCAAACCTTCTGCCAACCCCAACTCCATGCTCCTCATGGTTCCACCATTCGCAAAGCCCGGGGGGAGTCATATAGGCCCCCATCGTAGGTCGGGATGTAGGCTGTAGAACTTTAGGGCCTACTTTGGCGAATATAGCCCCAAAGGAGTTGCCAAACAACCGTTCTATGGGCGTGCTAGACAAGGTGGCATCTCATAACAAGAGATCAGCAAAGGACCATACAGTAGTTTCGAGACCCGACCAACCCTAAACCCTGAACACTAAACCCTAAACCCTCATGTAGAAAACCTCGGTGTCCCTTGCAGCCAGCGAGCATGGCTTTGATTGGTCCGAGGCATCCAGCAGTTCCACGGTGGCATGCGCAGTGGCCTGGAGAACTCTTCGTTACTGTCAGGTGTGGTGTGTAGGGCGGCTGGGGCTTTAGGGTTTATAAAGCTTTTTTGGGCTTTGAGATTTTTTGGGTGAGGGGTCAGGTTGCCAGCACGGCCCTTAGAGGGATTCGGTACTTCAACGTCAAGCCCGAACACTCTTTCAACTTTCATCTGTGACTCTTCCCCCCCCCCCATCCCCCTGAAGCCCGGGCGTTTTTAGATGGTATCCGTAAACAGGCCCTTTGAGCCCGAAAGTAAAGCCTAACCCCATAACCCAAACGAACCGCTAAAAAGTCAAGTTCCGAAGCCTGAAGCCCTCGGTCTTGAGGCTGCGGCCATGATCACTTCTGGAGCAACCTTCGCAGGCGCTGTTTGGCTTCGTGCCTTTGGGGTGTCGCCCAGACCCCCAAAGATAGCCAGCCCCCCTTGTTGAGGGGCACTTGAGAGGTTGAGGAGGGTTGAGGCTTTGTAAGGCTTGGGATGTGCTTAGGACTCAGGAAAGGTCTACTACTGAGTCTCGAAAGACTGCCAAGATTCAACTAGCCAGTGCTGCATCCCATCCAAGAAAATCGACCTCTGAACCTTGAAACCATAAACTGAAAAACGCCTTCAACCCTAAGAACCTACGCCCCGAACCGCAAAACTAAATCCAAGACCGTCAACACCGAGCCCCTGGATTTAGGGTCCTCAGGGTTTAGGGTTTAGGGTTTAGGGTTTAGGGTTTAGGGTTTAGGGTTCAGGGTTTAGGGTTTAGGGTTTAGGGTCGACTTCGCTGGGCCCCCCTGCCGGATCCCTTCGTCGAAGCGCCGTCTGGGCATTGGCGAGCTCGGCGCAGATGTCGTTGAGGTGTCCTTTTTCCCCCCCGTTTAGGGGTTAGGGTTTAGGGTTTAGGGTTTAGGAGTTATGCTATAGTATATGGGGGCCTACCCTCTAATATGAGATACCCCCTAGTATATGGTGGGGTATTTAATTTTAGGGGGTAGGGAGGGGCAGGGGTTTTAGGGGGAAGGGATTGCTGGGAGCGGGAAGGAAAGATTCTGTAGTGCAAGGCTTAGAGGTTGGATGCTTACAGGTATATGCTCGTGTGCTGCACTAAACTTTAAACCTTAGCCCCTCCCCCCCCCCCCAAAAAAAAAAAAAAAAACAACAACCCTCACCTCAAAAGCCAAAAAGCCTAAATACTAAACCTCGTAGACCCTTTAAACCACTGCAAGCCCAGCCGCCTGACTCCACTCGCAAAAACCACAGAAGGAGAAGGGTGGAGGGGAACCGAAGCGCAACCATATCAGATGTGGCTTAGAACTTCCATACACATATACATGTACATGGTATACGTATACGTGTACATCGCCATACTCTGATATGCAAGATGTATGCTTCATCCCCCACTGCACGGTGCAGAGCACGTATTCCCCCAGCATGCCCTCGGCTCTATAGTTTCCGGATGTGTTAGGGCCTTCAGGGTTCATGACCTTGTTTGCAATCCTAGACCTTAAGGAAGCGGGCCAGATGTGCTTGCTGGGTTTAGGCGCAGGCAGCAGTAGTAATTTTCACATAACGCAGGCAGGCTGCGCTTGCAGGTGCGGCCCAGGCAGGTGCCCGCAAATGCCCAATTAGGCACGGCTCTGCTTCAAAAAGTTTACGGGTGACCAATCGAAAAGGTCGGCAGGCAGCTGTCGGTCAGTTGCTTTGCAGGAACCAGCACTGCAGTGCACATCTACAGAACTCAATTCTGACCTTTCTTCGCCTAGAAAGGCCAGTCTAGTTTTTGGGCAGCGCCCGCAGTCCAAACCAGCACCTGGAACAGAGCCACACTGTTGGCGCAGAGTCTCGCAGCCACAGCCGGCCTGTGAGATCTGAGCCAGCCCATCACAGGCCGACTCTCCTGCCGGCACGTGCTCTTCGAGCAGGCTCTCAAAACGCCTTTGAGCTGCAGCATAAACCTCCTCATCTGCGGCATCGCGGAATCCATTCAGCTCGTCCTCATACATGTCGCTGCCATCATGCCCCTGGTGGTGGTGAAAGTTCATGAACTCCCCGGGGTTGATGGATCCTCCAAACATGCGGTGGAAAAGGCACACGGACTCGTTCCAGCGCTCTGTGAGGCCCACGAAAGCAAGCTGGGCAACGGCCTCCTTGGCCTTGCCAACGAATGCCCTCCCACCATCGAAGGGATTTGATCCCCGCACATGACTGAGTTCGGTACATGTCCTGCCGCTTAGCATGCGAGTCATGCAACCCGCTATGCCAGGATACCGCGCAAAGCATTCGGCTGATTCATTTGCACACGCTTTCTGAAGGACATCACGTTCGGATATGGAGAACTCAGGGGCACGATTATGGTCTTTGTGCGCCGAGATAAGGCGCTGGGTTGGTTGACGAAACATAGCCACAACATGCATTCCTGTAGCTTGAATGCGCTCCACGGAGATCGGTGCGTGATAGAGAGTGAACTTGCTATGCAGCACACCCTCTGTGCAATACTCATCTTGTGGATATCGCTCCATGAGCGCACGGCCGTAGCATGGAGCACAACCCGGAGCATATGAGTCACTCACTGTGATATCCAACATCTCTTTTCCCTGCCCACATGCATAATTCCAGACAGTTGCCAGGAAACTGGTACCGGTTTTGGGAACGTGAAGCCAGTACAGATTCTGTAAGGGAAACGTGCGCACTGAAGTTTCAAAGGTCATCCGCTGGTCGCATGTCCCTGTCGAGACATTCCTTGCCTGAGCCTGCCTCGGACTCATCTGACTCTCAGTCAGAGCGGCTTGGGTTTGGACTGCAGCAGCCTGTAGCATGCTTACTTCCTCGCTGCGGCAAGCGTCCTTGTGACCATTCACGGATTCAAGAAGGAGCAAGGCCCGAAACATCTGCCACATGATTTGGAAGGCGAAAATCGACAACGGAGGGGATGCGGTGGTTTGAGTGGGAATGACACTTGCAGCAGAGCCCTCTTGAAGGAGTGTCTGTGCTGACATGCCCACGGACTCTATCTGGTCAGCCCCGTTACTTTGTACAAGAACATCTGCATTGACTGCAGTCTGCAGTTGCTAGAGCACTGAGGAATATTTGTTGTACAAATATTGCAAATGATGTTGCCTGTTACCTGTACTGCAATTGTGACTTTTGCTAAGCTGCCATGCCTCTGTCCCCAGCTCAGGCCACGGCCACAAGAGAACCCACGATTCAAGGCAGCTGCCCTAGAATTCTCGCCCCTTCTAGTAACACCTACCGCAATGAACAGCTACCAAAAATCCTGACTAAGGACTGTGCAGATGCGCGTCACCCAATAATGTCCGGTTACGTAGATGCTTATGTTTTGGAGCTTTGGCGTCCCGGGGTCAACCATAAACCTCAAATCCCAAACCCAAAGGAAACTGGCCTTGGGCGGATCCGACGCATCGTGCGGCCAGGAGCGCGTTGTTGCACCTCAGGTTGCGACCTTTTTCCTCTTTGTTTCGCAGAGGGAGGGAAGACTTTTCCCCGCAGTAAGCTAAGAATTCGTTTTGCTTGGGGCTCGGGGTTTAGAGGCTCAGTGCGTAGACCTTAGGTTAGGCCCTGGGGATTCCACCACTCATTCCTCCTCCAAGACACCCCCCCAACACCTGTCGGGCCGGACATATCCAAGTATTCCCGGCTGCATGGCCATGAATCCTCTAATTGTGGTCAGCTCTCATCCTTACAGCCCTGCAGTACACTCGCCTGAAGCCAAAGCCTGGGACCTAAAACCAAGCAAGATCATGCATCAAGTGAAAGACGAAACGCTAAGCCACACCCAATTCACGGCTCATAATTCTTGGTGCAGCTTCAAGACTTTTGGATTCGAGGCAAAGAGGCTTTGGAACTTGGGGTGCTGGAGCCCTCACATTGGGACCAGTAGAATACTACATCATCATTACATCATGACATCTTTGAGGCTTCATGGAGGCCTCTGGGGGGAAGGTTTAAGGATCTCAGGACCCTGTTCTGCCAGGATGCGCATACCGGGCAACCATGCCCACCCTGGCACAGGAACTTGTGCCACCCCGCGGTTTGAGTGGATGTTTCCTTTTGGTTTGTCTGGTTTTTCGGGGGAGGCGGAGAGGAGATGTGGAGGGGATGGGGGCGGGAGGGGCAGCATGCCCAGAATGCTGGTAGTGATAGCTTTTCTTGCTCTTGTCTGCACGCCAGTCCTCGGACATGCCCACCAGTTACAATGCTTTTGCCCTTGTGTACATTGTACGGCACGGAGCGAAAAATCCAAATGCAAACATGCAGAGCGCGGGCCCCCCACCCCAGCCCCCCGCCCCCCACCCCCCCCTCACCCCCGCCCAATCCCCCCACAAAAAAAACATTCATAGTAATAGTAGTACTAGCAATGATAATAATGGTTTGCACGTTCGAAAAGCACAACTGGACTCACAGCTTGCGACAGCGCCCTTTGTTCCAGAAACGTCAAACGCGTTTGGGAAGTGATGCACAACAGCACGTAATTTCTCTCTCTCTCTCTCTCTCTCTCTCTCTGTCTCTCTCTGTCTCTCATCCCCTAGTCTCCAAAAAGCATGTAGATAGATGTGACTCTATACACACATATATATATATATGTATACATGTGAGTTTTTCATTTATTTTTATGTATTTATTGTATTTATTTTGTTTGTGATTGTATTATGTACACGTCTGTATAGAGAGAGGAGAAGGAGGGAGAGAGAGGGAGAGAGAGAAAGAGAGAGCGAGAGAGAGCGAGAGAGAGAGCGAGAGAGAGAGAGAGAGAGCAAGATCCAATCCCCCAGGCCCTGTCAAGACATGTCCGGCACACAAGATGGGCTCCGGCGGGTCCTCCGCAGCCTCGCCTTGGCCGTGCTCTGGGCAGATTCCGTTGAAGTGCCAGGGGATGTCAGGTCGGATTCATTCCTCTTATTGAGTTTTATCCAGGAACAGCTGATGTCTGCACACGATACTATTTAACAATGTTTGCTCACCAAAGATTGATTAAGGAAATATACGTACGCTCAGCAGAACCATCTATAGTGAAACCCCTAATCCATGCATCAGCGTTCCACTCCGGCTTTACCAGCACCTATTGGCGGGAACCAAATTTCCCCAGCGGTCAGCATGAGACAAGGTCGCCAAGATGTAAACTAGTGCAAACCCTGCTCCCAGATGCTGACAGTCTGGAGGGAATTCCAGAAGCAATTCTGCTAAGCACAGGTTCGTAGAAGGTCGTCCAACACAGAGACAGAGTTGAAGTTATATATTCTGGAGCAGCAATATTGGGGGCATGATCGTCGCTTGGATGAGCAGCTGCTTGGCAGCTGCCACCTCCATCCTGTCACCGTCAGTGGCACACGCCGCAACCTTCAAGGTAGGCACATGCAAAGCTCATGCCAGACTGGCCTAAGAAGCCAGCGTACAAGATTGTCCCATTCCTCCGCATCGAAAACCGCGTGCTCACCAGCTTTGGCGCCACTGGTTTGATCCAGTTGCGCAGAGCACCCAAGCAAACAAAAGCCTAGTGCGAAATGAGATCTACGTGGGAGTGCAGTTTCCGGTACTTACAAGAAACTCGTGACGGCTCAGGCTCAGGGCTCTGCAATGATGGTGTTGCCGTCGATAGCAGGTACGTGGAGCTCCTCGCCATGGGTCTGGCCGGTGGCGCTGACAGGCCCCAAGTGGTTCGGCCAGGCGTCCGGGTCCCACTGGCCGAAGGCCAGGCGGCAGGCAGCGTCCAAGTTCAGGCCCGAGGAGGTCATGGCCATGGTGGAGCCGGTGATGCCTGAAACGGCCCCTACGCAATTGGCATCCTTGTCCGCACGGCCCACGATGTTCACACACGAGTTGCTGGCCAGGGAGAAGAAGCGGACGCACAGGCTCAGCACTGCGAGGAGGCCTGTGATGTCCACTGCGCACACGCGGCCCTCGGTTTCCACGACTCCTGGGGTGCAGTGGATGGTGCTGTCTGCCAAGATGATGGCAAACCTCATGACGAAGGTGGCACCCAAGTCAAGCTGGGCTACACACCGGGCCACGGCACCGTACACAGCGTCGTTCGGCACCGCAGGTGGAGCTGGCAGCGTACTCACGTCGACGCCGGCCTTCTTGAGATAGTTGTACACGCTCTTCGAGGCCTGCTTCTTCTGCTTCGTGATTTGAGACTCCGCGGCCTCAACGACCGCCTCGGCTTTGGCTTCCTTTGTCAGCTTGCCGGCCTTGGCGCCCTTGTTGCAGATCAGGTCCGCAGACAGAGTGGACTGCATCAGCACAGAAAGGCCTCCCATGAAGGCGCCGATGTTCGCGGCGCAATTCGCAGGCACGTTCAGTGAGCCCGAGCACGTGGAGATGGAGGAGGAGATCACACCCATGCCAAGCTCCACCTGCAGCAGGATGCCGAAGATGCCGGAGGCGCACCTCTCCCGCTCGTCGTTCCGCACCGGCCGCTTCTTGACAGCCTGAATCCTATCAAAGTCGCAGGCCACCGTGGAGAACTTGATGAACGTGCCCGCCAGCATCACGCGCGCCACGGCCTGGGCCACGTCGACCACGCACAGCACCTGGCCGGCCGCTGGGCTGATGTGGGCGAGGCCAACTGTTGGCAGTTGCTTGGACGCACCCAGCTCTGACTCGAGCGTGTGCCAGGCCTGCCCACCAACCGCCTCCAAGAACTCCGTGGACTTGGCACCCACCGGCAGGCCAAGCTTGGGCGCGATGGCGAAGACCATGAGGCCCAGCATCGCCACGCCGGCAGCGCGCCGAGCCCAGCGCCGCACGAACTCCGGCGGCCCCAGCTGCGCCTGGACAAAGGGCAGCTAATGAACTTCTGGAGCCTCTCAACTTGACCGGCTTTCAACCCTTCCAACTTTCATCTTCCTTTACAGAAGAAGCTGTTGCAATCAGCGTGTGAATGAGTGAGTATGAGTGGGCTTGCGGCTAACTGCCACAGTACATACGATCCCGGTTCTCGGTTCGCCGACACCCCCATCCCCCCCTCCATCCAGTAAACCCAACCCAAAACCCTAAACCTTAAACCATCTTAAACCCTAAATCTTACACCCTAAACCCTAGGCCCTGACCCCAACCCCCAACCACACCTCACTTGTGAAGAAGGTCCCAAGAATGCAGAAGCGTCGGTAGGAGATCATGCCAGTCTTCACACGAATAAAACACGCGGGCCCGCCGACAACACGCCACGTGCGCAGAGGCCCGTCGAAAGGGTCCCCTTTCAAGGGCCCCAGCAATGTCGTGCGCTGGGTAAGCGCCATTCCGGGACAAGGCGGCCGCCGTGAAAAAAAAACGCACAGCTAGAAACATAGATCCCCCTACAAACCCCAAAGTAAGCCCATTTGCACTTGCCATCTTCTCTTGGGTCCACGAGGGCCGTGATGGGCCATTGAGTTGTTGGTCTCACAGGTCAAGCAGTGCGGGTGGTGCCCAACCAACCCCGCAAAGAGAAGCCCTCAAGGACCCGCCGAATGCCTCATGTCCTGGCTGGCTCGGCACTTCCACCAGCTCCTCTTCCTCCTCCCCACACCAACAATCAGTTTTGAGGTTTCTATACTTGGAACGGTATAACAACTAGGATTTTGGGGGCGGGAGAGTTTAGGGTCACATTTCGGGGTCCTTTTCCAAACTACAGAAAGGGCTCCTTGTACCTCGGAAATCAACTCGACGAACCATCCAAGGAAGAGACATCGAAAAGAGCCTCATATGAAACGTACCTGAGGGCATCTTCATAGTGGGAGACCCTTTCAGGAAGTTCTTCTTACCTCGTGGTGACTGGTGCGGGGATCTGGATGTTTTCGGCCCACATTATGAGACAGGGGTCGTCCGAATTGAAAGTTTGCGGGCCTGGGGCTTGACAACTTGACAAAGCCAGAGGGCCATTGCCTGCTTGCGAAACATTGGCTTCAAGGAAAGGCAATGCTGTGTTACATGGCGTCCTGAGTCACACAGTTGTTTGTTTTGTGCTGACGGTGTGGGGCCGGTTTACGTCTAGTGCCTCGGCCAATTCGTCTTCACAAAGACCCTGTTGAGCAGAGAACCGTCAACAAGCTGCCTGGAGCCACGCTCCTTTAGAATCACCTGCCTATAAAGCCACATTCCGGTACAATCGTTGAGCCTCCCTGGCCGGCTTCTCGAATGTCAAATTCCGGTACAGTCGCCCGCCTGAGCCTTCCTGGCCTGCTGTATGCGGCAACATTTCGGCATAGTTGCCCGCCTGAACCTGCCTGACCTACATATTTCGGCAACATGCCAGTACAGTTGCCCGCCTGAGCCTGCAAGTCGCCTGCCGGACCTCCCTGGTCTGAGTCTGCTCATCACACATGAGACAACATTCCGGTACAGTTGCCCGCCTGAGCTTCCCTGCCCTCCTTTTTGAGGTCCTGAATCTTGTACCGCCCGAGAGCCGCACGATGCGTGTCACTTTGTACTTAAAGCATATAACAAGCCCGCTTGTCGGGGCAAAAGCAAAGAAAGCCCTCGACCTGACACCCGAAAATCTTAAACCTTTGGCACAAGTCCTTGGACCTTTCACCCAAAACAGCTTTAGGGACCCTGAGAGGGCTCCTCAGGCAGAGCAACTGCCAGATTCCGCATCTCCTGTAAGGGAGATTTGCAGTAGGTCATGTTTTGGGGTCAAAGGGCTCCAAGGCCTTGGGCCTGTAGGGCTTAGGGTTTAGGGCATAGGGTTTAGGGGTTTAGGCAGGGCGCCCTCGAAGGGTACAAGTTGCGGGGGTGTCTCTGAATACGGCCCTCAAGCATCCAGGCGTCTCTGTGGTCAGCTCTACGATCGCATAGGGTATCAGAAAGGTGGGTCAGAGAGCTCGGTGCTAAACCTACATAGGATCAATGGCCTATCAGGCTCAACAGATCGCAGTTTTTAGGGCTTCTAGGGCTTCTAGCGCTCTCAAGGGAGGCTTGAGAGTCCGCAGAAGGTCACAGGGCTTTCCCTAAAGCCGTTGAACCCAAAACCTTGTTTGGGCCCAGAGTGCAGATGACTGCGTGCGAGGGAAAGGGGCGGAGGGGGAAGGAGGGGGGGCGGGACCCAAATGAAAGAAGAAGGAGTACGGCATGAACCTCCAAGACCCTACAGCTTCCTACGTGTCCAAGCACTGCCAACCGCATCATCTTAAACCCTACACCTCAATGAGCGTCCTGGGGGGCTTGCCACGACGCCTCCGCCGGGCCTAGCATTGCATTATCTCGTTGGGACTTCTACTGGTCTTCTACTGGTAGGATAGTTCGGGTTGAGGATCGGAGCTGGGACCCGGAGATGTTTGGACTCGATGCTGTTTCGCATTTTGGGGTGGGCTTCGGCCAAGGCCCCATGAGCAGCTGTGCCCAGTACATAGCACACACTGCATACGATGCTGTTGCTATGACTTTCAGCGGCAAACAAAGCTCCATCCATCCGAGAGGCCGGATGATCGCGTGCGTACGGTCAGAGGCCAGCCGTGGTCTTGAGCCAGAAGGACTGCTGAGCCGGGCAGTGCACAGCAAACCTACGCTGGACTCCCTGCCCATCCTGTCCGAAGAGGGTTCTAAATGATAGGGTCGCCTGACAGATTCCCAAAAATTTTTACTTCGACCTCATGACTGCAACAAAACACAACTTGAGTGAAAAAAAAATCGCAATGACACGCGAAGAAATAGCAGCCGAAGCCCGATTTCCATTAAAAGTGCCGACTCCGGCCCTCAAACCTCCTCAAACCCTTCTTTGCCGCCTAAACCCTTCCACCTGAAATCCCCAAACGCTACCCTGAAACCCTAAACCCTAAACCCTAAACCCTAAACCCTAAATTAAGGGCCCCGGCGAAAGGTCCGCCGCAGTGCCTGGGCCGCATAGCCGGCTGTTGCCCCGAATGGCACCCGCAGCTCCTGCCAAGTGGGAGGGCTTCGGGCCTCGGGGAGTAAAGTCGGAAGGTTTTGGAGAGCTTGAGGGTTTAGGGGTTTAGGGGTGTAGGGGTGTAGGGGTGTAGGGGCTTAGGGTTTAGGGTGTGACTTAAACCTGGGTTGCCTCCTGGGCCGTGGGACTCAACTGCTGCTTCGGATGGGGCCTGAGCCAATCCAGACTGGTACCATGCCGAGTTCAAGGCAGTGTGTGTGGTCCTCCGGGCCTACGGGCACCTGTCCGCATCTGGTGTGACTGCTTAGGCTTCTTGGTTGTGTTGATTCTTGCACTCTCTCATCAGACCGACTTCAACAGTGAAATCCACATCTAGTCTGCCGGGAAGTGCCGTATGCATGACGTGCTGCATAGCCACTTGAATTTTGAACCACCCCGCCACAGCTCCTCGTCGGTCTGACCTTGGAGCAGATCTTGGAGTAGCACGGTACAGGCATGAGTATCCATAGCGACGATTGAGCATGACTGAGCGCAGCCACACCGAGATCCGCCTGCCAACTCCCTTTCTCCTGCCTGCCACAGACATGCGATGGAATCAGCCCCAGAGCACATGGCGGCGACTGCATTTCGAGACCGCAAGCCATGCTGTTCTTGCTCCGAATTTTCAAAACCGGCAGCGCTCTGCAGAACATGAGCCTGCCAGAGCCTGCCGAGCTAATTTCGGGGGCACCTGAACTAGAAACTAGAAAAAGCACAAACAACATGCGACATCAGAGCCCCTGACTCGATTTCTCAGCTTGCGGCCAGACTGAGGTGCAGGACCGGTGGAATCCGTGGAATCCTGGACCTGAACGTGTCTTGAGCAGGAGGTTTCAAAGAGGGGTCCTTAAAATGTCCTGGCCTGGAGTTGCACTGCCACCCGGAACCCCTCTCCCACCTCCAAATCCACGTTTCTTTCGGTTGGGGCGGGGGGGGAAGGGGGGGAAGGGGGGGGGGGAGTTTTGCCCACAGTCTCAAAAAAAGCCACCAGGATCACCAAGCTCATCATGTTTGGCATGCTTGGGGTCAGCAAGAACAACGAGCCGAGGAGTCCTCCACGGAAGCTGAAGGCCACTGGAACCACCAGATGCCCGGCCTCTCTTTCCCGAGACTCCGAAATGAACAGCTGCAACTTGACATTTGTGGAAAGGCTGGAGAAAGTGCACCTTAAACTGTAAACCTCATCCGACTGTCAACTCCTAAGCTGCAGGTGCAGGAGCTACAGGCTGCAGCGTATTAGCCAAACACGCTTGAACCCACACAAAAGAAATGGTTCCAAGCCGGGCGCTCGAAATGAAGCACCGAGCCTAGGCTGTCGGTGTGCTGTTGGCTTTATGGCTCCAGGGTCTCAGGCTTTGAGTCTCAGGGTTTCGAGCCTCATGGTTTTCGAGCAAGGGCCGTGAGATACCCGAATCCTCCAGCCCCCTCCCCTCCCCTTCCCCCCAAACCCTTCAACCCACCCCCGAGCCTTCCACGCTTGGGCTCAGGGCTTCGGGCGGTTTAGGGTTTGGGGTGGTTGAAGCTGGTTTGCGGTGGCTTAGGTCAGGAGGCTCGAGGCAAGGCATTGGGGCTTCTAGGTGTCTGCAACTGCCAAGCCACCGGCTGGCAAAGTGGGCGCCCCCAGGCCAACACCCACCACGCGACCCCCAGACCGCAGGAAGCGCCGCGCACGCTCGAGGAATGAACCTTCTCAGGCGGCCCGGGGCTCTTCCAAAGCTTCTAACCAGGGTTTCTAGCCTGGCGGCATTTCCGTAGGGGTTGTATGTCAATAGCCACGAATGCAATGACAAGGTTTCGGGCTCCTTTTTCTGACAGCATTGCTCCGTAAACCCTGCAGGTTAGTAGGCCATAAGCTAGATACAGAGTAAAACCTGCCAAGGGTGTATGCAATTTGGGACCCAGGTGGCTGCCAGTTGAACCCCGAAAGCCCTCAGCTTCAATCCTGCCTGAACGAAGAAAGAGCCTGTCAAGCAGAAACTAGGGCTTAGGGTTTCGGGTTTAGGGTTTAAGGTTTAGGGTTCAGGGTTCAGGGTTTAGGGTTTAGGGTTTAGGGTCTAGGGTTTAGGGTAAATGGCTTGGAGACAGGAGTGGGGGCCATCTCAGCCCTGCGGCCATCCAAGGACAAACCGGAGGTCGGCCCTTCCCCGCTTGAAACCACGTTGCTGGTGGCGTCCTCGGCATTTCGGGCTTAGAGCCCCGATAACCCCTTGATTGAACGTCGAGTGCTTCATGCGATTCATGTGCCACACAGGACACGCAGAAATCTCGATCTGGTTCCTGCACTAGCTTCTAGATTTCTGGCGCGATCGCTTTGCGGCCATGTGTCGATGACAATCATATCGACACTGTGGCTCTCCTGAATTCAGGACTCAAGGTGCACGGCCGAATGAACAAGACTGAGCTGCTCTTGGAGTGGCCTGGTTTGCCTTGATGTCAACCACCCCAGGAGTCAAGCCCCTACTCATACTCCTGCGCCCTACATGAGCCCGTCCTGGACCCACATCGCGCCTCTAAACACATACATCCTAAATTAAAGCCTCAACACTTCATCCAACACCCGATACAAAGCCTTCAACCTCTCAAACCCTCAATCCCGCTCTCACGACTTCCTACATGGCAGTGGGTTAAGTAAGTCGGCCCAAGCCGTGTGAAGTCGGCCCTCCGCCGGGCACGCTTCGATTCGCGTTAAATCGACCCATCCGCAGAAAGTTGACCCTTAGACTTGGAATCCCCAAGTACTGGGTTTTCAGGAGTTTTCAGGACGGCCCGATGTGCAAAATCAGCACGCGATGCGAAACTCTCCTCAGCATCTGAAGCGCAAAGGCACCGAAGCAACTGCAAAACTGTGGGAGTTGGCAAGTGCGCGCCAGGTTTGGGCCCCCAACCACGATGCACACAGCTTGATCTTCGAAGCACGATGCAGAACACGGCGTGACCGCTTGCGAAACGCACGGCGCTTGAAATGGGATCCTGCAAGGTCGCGCTTCGTTATATACAGGGAGTGCAGAATGAAGCTGAATCCGTTGAACATGGCTTTGCGCGAGGCCAGGGCGTGTTTGAGGTCCAGGACTGGCCCCCAAACCCGACGGCCCCCAATGTAAGATCACCCGCCAGATCAACTCCTGAATCCTCAAAGAAGCAAGAACTAGGTTGTGCAAGAAGTCGAGATCCTAGTAGAAGTCTAAGGAAACTCAGCCAGAGAGGCGCCTCCCTTCCTGAAATTAGAAAAGCCTACTGCCGCTGCAACCCCGGAACCCCTTTGGGACGCTAAACCAAGTCCCGTCACATGCGTTCCCAACCTCGAAAAACACAAGTTGAAGCAGCAACTCCCCAAGGTCGCGCTGCGGCAGGCATATGTACCTTCCCAACCAACCCTACAAATATAGCCTCTTTGAGTAGATCCCCATGTCAAGCTGTCGTGGGTCGACTTTACACAACGCGGGTCGACTTAACCCCCGGTACCAAGTAAGTCCCAGAAGCGAAGGCGTCTGCAAACTTGTCCCGTGGCACAAGCACCAGGCGTTCCAGTGCCGCTTGGGGCAGCAAGCCTCCCAGCTGTCCTTGTGGGCTTCCGAGGGGTTCAGGGAATACCTTAAGAGCCCAAGACCGTATTCTCCGCAGGCTAGCTTCTCTTCGGCTACATAAGGTGGAGATCTTGGGGTTTCAAGGCTTAGGCTTCGGCTGCTGAGGGGGTTTGGGCTGTTGGGCCTGTGGAGTTTCCAGTTTCTAGGGTTCAACTGCAAGTGGCAGTTTGCGCACAGCGTAACCGTGACTCGAAAACACTTGGTGTTGTGCGGCATTGCGTCATCTAGTCTATCCTGCACCAATTATGCTGGTTGATTCAGATGGATGTGGGGCGCGGTTGGGTGGGTGTGTGGGTGGCCCAGAAGATTGTTGCATCGAGCCCAAACAAGCTGTCACGCGGCTAGTTCTCCAAATGAGGACCCTCATCAATCTCAAAACCTAGCCACAGAGGGATTCTAAATCTGAGCACCCGCCATAAGACCCCAAACCGTGTTTCTTTGGCATAAACCCAAAGAGGACACTCCATGCCTAGAAATCCCAACAGCAACGCCCGGGGGCCGCCAGGTGTCGGTGGAGTGCAGGCCCCTGCGCCTCGCAACGATCACAGAGACCAGCCACAAAGGCCCCGGCCTCGATACGACAGGGATGACGGATGAGGGGTTAGTGTGAAGCACAGTAGAAGTGTTCGTACTGTTGATGTCCTTTCTCATGAGTATGTTTTTGAATAGTTGTGTGATTATCATCTCCCGAAGGGTTTGCTGTCCCAACCCCTCTTTTGCGAAGGTCTACGACCGAAGGCATCGTGCTCGAAGCTTGGAAAACCAGATGCTCTGGAGCCAAGCTCACTGGGAACAGGCGTGGCAGCCCGTAGGGTGGGGTTTCTTCTTTCGGTTGACTTTTGTGGTTGGTGACATCAGTAGGGGTGTTGGGTTCCTTACTGGTTTGACTTATAGTTTCATATTGGTAGCGGAGCCTAGTTGCTCTTTAGTTAGTGGTGGTTTCAGGGTCGTAGTTTGCTTTGCTGCGTAGTGAGCCCATTGCCATGTCGAGAGATGGTGAGCTGGGTGGCGAGCACCCAGAGATGCAGGATGGAAGCCTCGATGGCTTCTCGAATCATGAGCCCCAGACGACCGGCGACCCTACAGCGGAGTCCGATAGAAGCCGAGAATATGATGAGCAAGCCGGCCAACACATTCCCCCGAGCCATGGGGAAGCTCGGCCATGGGCTGAAGACCGTCAAGGAAGTTGGTCTGAGTCCGGGTCCGGGCATTGGGAAGACCGCTATCATGGCGATAGTGGGTGGCATCGGGGAAGCTGGGCCACAGGGAGCACCGGCACGGACGCCAAAGCAGGGGCCCGGGGAGAAGATCCGTGGGGCTCGTGGTGGAATGATCCCTGGCACGTTCGACAGCACGATGACAGAGGCCCGGATGGTCGAGATCGAAGGCAACCAGCCCGTGAGTCTCGTCCTGAACCTGATTCGGGAAGATATTGGCAAGCTCCCTGGGCAGATGGTCGAGATAGGGTTTCGCCTTTTGACGATTCAGCACCTCATGGAGGAGGACTGGACCATAAGGGGGTCGTGATGACCAGTTGCAGAAGAAGCCAAGACGGATCGCATAGCTGGGCCTGGGATATTGGAAACATTTCGGAGACGTCGGAGGGGGCTACCGGACTGGAGGCGAGAACAGCTCTTTCTCCGAGCGCGCTTCCGGCCCTCGTCCCTCCGAGAAGTTGGCCATTCCCACCTTCGCCGGCGAAGGCGACGAGGATGTGGGCACTTCGGCCCGCTCCTACCTGAGGATGGTGGAGGCTTGGCGGCGTATGACAAGGCTACCATCTGAACAACAAGGACTCGTTCTGTACCAAAGCTTGACTGGGAAGGCCTGGGTCGCCGCTGAGGAGCTGAACGTCGACATCTTGGGGTCAAAGGAAGGGGTCCCGTATCTGATATCATGGATATCTAGTCGCTACCTCGACCTCGAGATCACGCGCATCGGCAAGGCCTTCTCCGAGTTCTTTCGCAAGCTCAGGCGTCGTGCCGGGCAATCCATCAGGGACTACAACAGCGAGTACGACCGACTCTACGCCAGGCTGAGGGAGGTCGGGTGCTCGCTTCCTGAGGATTGTGCTGCATGGCTGTACGTGGACCGCCTCCAACTCGACGAGTCCTCAGAGCTGAACTTGTTGGCGAGCGTCGGGAACAAGTACTCGTTGGGCCGGCTGCAGCAGGCTGCGGTGATACAGGACCGAGGCCTTCGCAAGCCTTGGGAGAGTGGAAGGCCTCGCAAACCTCACGTGGCGCACGTCACCGACATGTTCGACGAAGGCGACCTTGACAGCGAGGGGGACGAGCTACTCCAGGAAGGATTCCCTGAGGAGGTCGCGACCGCCTACGTGGCTTTCCAGTCCGCTAAGAACCGCTACAAGGAGCAGGTCAAGAGCCGTGGGTTTGTGCAGAATGGACAGGATGGCCCTGACAAGACGAAAGCCCCTCGGGATGATAAGCGCGCAGCCCAGATCAAGAACATGAAAGCCAAGTCGTTCTGCGCCGGTTGTCATCAACGAGGGCACTGGCACCGAGACCCGGAGTGCCCTAACAATCGTCAGGGCGGGCCGGCCACCGTCAAGGAAGTGGACATGTGCACCATGATGCCCCGGGAGGTCTTCGCTGTTCGGCATGCTGGCAATCTCCTCCTCGGGATAGCAGACACCGCTTGCGCGCGTACGGTTGCTGGCACCCAGTGGCTCCAGGACTACTCCAACTGCCTGGCGAAGCTTGGCGCTGAGCCCCAGCTGCACAAAGAGTGTGAGGCCTACCGCTTTGGTACCGGGCGGATCTACTACTCGACCTTCTACGTGATCCTCTCGTTCGAGCTCGGCGGCAAGATCATCCAAGTTCGCACGTCAATCATCAACGGGGACATCCCGCTTTTGCTCTCGAAGGCGGTCCTCGGCAAGCTGGGGATGATCTACGATGTGGAGAACGGGCGAGCGAGCTTCACAAAGATCGGGGTCCAGGACTATGCTATGCTCGCAACCCCTTCCGGACATCCCGCGATTGCCATCGTCCCAGCTGCGCCTCCGGGTGGTAGCTTCTCTGACTTGCAGATCGAAGACCTGCGCTTTCAGGCGAGAGGGGAATACACGGTCTTTGTGCTTGCTCACCATAGCCTTCGTACCTCCCACAACCCTTCGTTCTACAATCTGTTCCACGACAAGAAGCTAGACCCCGGAATCAAGAACATGCTCGTGCATGGTCGTTTCGATCACTCTCTCTTCATGACGTGGTGGGAGAAGACTTCTATTTCCGGGGACTTCTGGGTAGAAGGGGAGGACACTTGGGTCAGGGTGCACTGTACTCCCCGGCGGGCTTTCTTTAATCCTTCTACATGGCGTACCAGCTCAACGGTTCTGAAGGACATGTTGCTCGCATGCACTGCCGAGATTCGTACCACAGAGGGAGTATGCTGCAGCTCAGGGCGATACATCGAGAGTGTAGTCGACCGTTGGAGCTCTGGGTGTACTTCTGAGCCTTCACTGCCGCTGTTGTGGATCGGAAGGAGTGTCTTTCCGAAGACAAAGCCCTCATTCCCGCCTACCTCTGAACCTCCGTGCCATGAGTCGCCAGGAGCCATGCACCCCCACGGCATTGTCAAAGATGACCAAGGCGCAGCTGATCAGCGAGGCGATGAGAGTCGGGGCCATTGTCCACCGCAATTGGGCCACGGAGGAGATCAAGGCGGTGTTGGTGGAATACCGTGCAGCCCGCAAGGAAGCCGACCCCAGCGAGAAGATGAAGAGGCTCGCTCACCTCTCACTCCCCGAGCTGAAGATGAAGGCGGACGAGCTCAGAGTGGGGTACGGACCGAATGTGACGAAAGGAAACCTTCTGAGGATGATCCGGGAGAGCGTCAACACACCGGACCAAGAGTTGATGAAGGTGGGACAGTATCGAGGATACGAGTTCCGGGAAGTGCCGGAGCCTTATGCGAGGTGGGCGAGCGAAGAACTGAAGAAAGCGAAGTCCATGGACCCCGACCTGGTGATGTTCGTCCGTTGGTGGGAGGCGAAGCAAGCACTGAGTCAGTCATCGCCCGAGATGGATCTCGCGACCTACGTCTCCTCGGGGGCAGCTCCCTCGATGAAAACCCCGTACCCGGAGAGTTCGGCGGCGAGTTCGTGGGGAGTGGTGGACGATGCGAGTCCCAGCAAGGGAGATCAGTCCAAGCGAGGCAAGAGATCCAACCCCGGGGAGAGCCCGCCCGAGCAGAAGAACATGGACTCGCAGATCGACGAGGAGACCCTGGCGGAGATCAGAGCTTTGGAGACCAAGTTAGCAGTGCTCAAGGACAAGGCCAAGACGAGCGCCTCGTTCTCGAAGTAGGAAATGAGTCCAGCAAGACAAAGCGCCCCGGAGGGTGCTGCGGAGTGTCTGAGCTTCAGGAGGGCATCACCGAGCAGGAGTTCGTCCTCGCCTATGGGAACCAGCACCCCACCTACCTCGTTCACGACAGCGCGGAGGGGGAGGTCGTTGATGGATTCCTTGGTGAGAGTGCTGCGAAACGGGCCTATGAGCGCGGGGATTTCTCCTTTGAGACCTGTCAACTTTTGTTGGAGCAGGCGGGGCTTGGGATCACCAAACTTCATCGAGGCGAAGTTCTTGCTGCTGGAGCTGATGGCAACGTGGAAGGTGGCCTATCTAACCCCAACAAACCCAAGGGTTCAAGCGGTGTCTATAAGACCTTTGGTCTCTTCACTCATGGGGGCGTGCAGGGCATCACCACAGCGACCCAGACCTCTTCCCACCTCACGAGGTACTTGAACTGCTTTGGTCGACATCATCTTCCAGAAGGGAGCACGTGGACATCTTTCACTGTCTCCTTCGATGTCCAGAGTAGAGTTCATCACGACTCGAACAACCTCGGAGGTAGTCTTAACCACTCGCTGAGCTTGGGGCAGGTCTCTGGAGGAGGATTGTGGATTGAGAAGAAAGGGGTGACTGAGGCAGAGACCGAGGAGGGCAATTTGGTATGGAAGCGCACCGGGGGGGGGGAATGGCTGCCCGGACACGTGCACGAGAACTACAAGAAGTTTCTCTCCTTCGACCCCCACCTCAAGCATGCTACCCAGGCCTGGGAAGGGAGCCGGTGGGGCTTGATATTCCACACTACTCGCAGCATTCTTCGTGTCGGTGACGAGCTACGAAAGGGGTTGCGGAAAGTTGGATTCCCCTTGCCCAACAAGAAGTTCCTCACTGGATCCACCGGACAGAATGCCTCGTATAAACACAAAGGGAAGCCGAGCAAGGTGCAGCGCAATGCTCTCATGCGAAGCGCTGCCCAGTTGTCCGTCCTCTTCACGATGCTCCTCTCGGCTGCTACCTCCTACCTATGCGAAGGACATGCTCGCGACCCAATCCCGGACCCCATCGTCTTGTTCGAGATTGGAGGGTTCGATGCTTCGCTGGAAGCAACAGAGCTCAACAAATCGATTGTGGAGCCCATGTCATGGCAAGACTTTGTCGATCCGGAGAAGGCTGAGACGGCATACCACTTCGTGAAGGGAGCCACACCCCGTGAGCTCAGGCTGCACTTGGAAGAGTTGCCCGGCCGCGCTAAGCAGGCTGCGCACACTCTCGTTGAGGCCCAGCTCGAGGAAGGTGGGACAGTCGTTCTGCAAGGTGGAGATCCAGAGGGCCTCGCCAAAGACTTCAGCGACTTTGTCCAGTACCAGAACGAAGATGGGACCGGAGGGCCTCACGTGGTGTTGTACAGACCCAAGGAAGGCCATAGCACTCTTCCCGGAGGAGCTCGTCCCCATAGTGTATGTGTGAGCGATCTTGTGCCCCCGGTCGGACCGCCGGCAATTCCCAATGTCGACCACAAGGGTAGTGGAATCACCTTCGATTCATCCGTGAGTTCGGCGGCGCAAGGGGCTCTTCGCAGGCTTCATCAGAACCTCGGTCATCCTCGCAAAGAAGATCTTCTGCGACATCTACGGCTGGCTGGATGCGATGCGGGTATACTCAAGGCTGTGAAAGGAATGCGATGCGAAGTGTGCGAGAGCACCCAAGGACCTAAGGTCGCACGCCCGAGCACGCTTCCGCATCTTTACAACTTCAACGATTGCGTCGGGGGAGACATTCTGTACGTCCACGACGTCAATGACAAGAAGCACACCTTCCTCAACATCGTCGACTGGGGCACCACCTACCAGGTCGTTGTGAGGCTTCCTGGAACCAAGGCAGAGCATCTTGAGAAGGCTTTCAACGACTCCTGGCTTGTGCCCTTCGGACCACCCAAGTCAGTTTCCCTCGACCTCGAAGGCGGCTTGCAGAAAGGGATCAGTCGCCTGTGCGACTGGCACAACATCCGTGTTCAACATGTCGCAGCTCAAGCACACTGGCAGGCAGGCATCACCGAGAGGCATGGGGCGTGGTGGAAGAATATATGGGAGCGAGTTGTACACGAGCGGTCGGTCGATGAAGGAGAAGTCGAAGTCGCGGCAACATGTGTTTCTGCCGCTAAGAATGAACTGAGACGTCGCTGCGGACATTCTCCTGTTTCCTGGGTTTTCGGCCGAGAACCTCGCGGTCCTGAAGAGCTTGTTGATCCAGACTGCGGGCAAAGGATTCCCTGGGAGACCTCCGACGACTCCAAGTTCCAACGGTTGACGGCTTTGAGGACTTCAGCAAGGGTGGCCTTCCATCATAGTCAGAATGATGACAGGTTGCGTCGAGCCCTACTACAACGGGCCCGTACCACAAGTCGGCCCTACTCTGTAGGGGAGCCTGTCCACTTTTGGTACAAGCCTAAAGACCGGAGACGAGGTCGCTGGGCAGGACCAGGAGTTATCGTTGGGCAAGAAGGCGGAAATTTCTGGGTCTCGAGGAATGGCCGGTGCAGACTTACAGCGCCAGAACACCTCAGACCTTCGGGACCGGAAGAAGTCGGAGAACTGCTGGCTATGAAGCAAACCAGAGAACAAGTCGACAAACTGTTGCAAGCCGACCTTGACGATGATGAGGCCTACGACACCGATGGCATGGTTTCCGGCGGCGAACAAGAAGATGATCTCCTCGTCGATTACGAGCCGTCTCTTCCCGGAGATCCAGACGTCGAGATGCCTCTTGGAGACGAAGGACTTGGGCTCGATCTTGGAATCGGAGAAGAGATTGCGGCCCCCAGAAGGAGGCTCAAAAGGAAGACTCGACCCGATGAGCTCGGAGGACCCGATGAAGAACATCACTCCCCTGACGTGCATTCTACCATGCACCTCAAGCAGGATCTCACACAGCGAGGTAAAGAAAAGAGACAAGAGAAAGAGTTGAGATGGGCCGAGATTCCGGAGCATGTGCGAGAAATGTTCAAGGCTGCAGAAAGAACTCAGTGGGAAGAACACCTCAACTTCGACGCCTTGCAGCCCTTGTCAGTCGCGGATTCAGACAGGATTCGAGAGACAGTGAATGCCTCACGCATACTTCGATGCCGGTGGGCATATAAGGACAAAAACTGGCCCAAGAGAAAGGGGGCCCTTGCAGACGGGAAGCCTGACGACGTTCCCTGGCGGTGCAAGTCGCGGTTGGTCATTGCTGGACACACCGACCCGGACCTCGGTGTGTCTTCTCTCACCACAGACGCTCCTACTCTATCGAGACCAGGATTCCTTTGCATGATGCAGGCGCTCGCCAACGGCTTGTCTAAGAAGGATCCCTGGAGAGTGGCCGCCGGCGATATCCGTTGCGCTTTCTTGACGGGGAGTTACTTGAAGCGCCACGAGGAGTTGTACTTGCACCAGCCTTCCACCGGCTTCCCCGGATTGTTGCCTCGTCAGCTCGTGAAGATCCGTAAGAATATCTTCGGCCTGGCCACGAGTCCACACGAGTGGTGGGGAGACCTACAAGCCGGAATCAAAGAATGCAAGATCGAGCTGTCCGACGGGGGCATTGCAGGGTTTGACCAATGTCCTTTGGATCCCTGTATCTTTGTGCTCCGGAGGATTGAGGACGGCCAACTACGAGGTCCAGCTCTTGCCTATGTCGGGAGTCATGTTGACGATCTTCTGGTAGTGGGGCCGACGTCTATTTGGGAGAAAGTCAAGGGCAAGCTGTCGCAGCGCTTTCCGGTGGACGTCTGGGAGGATGATACCTTCTGTTACGTCGGGACTGAGGTCACTTGCAACGGCGAGTATGTGAAGGTCGGGCAACGGGGCTATGTGGACAACCGGCTTTTCTCTCTGCCTATTCCTCCCGGGGCCCACGACCAGGATTTGGCGGACAACGAGCTCATTGCAGACAACCGGAGTTTGATCGGAGCGTTGTCGTGGCTAGCTGGTCAAACACGACCGGACCTTCAATGTTCGGTTTCGATGTCACAACAAGTACAGAAATCTCCCACCATCGGCGACATCAAGTTCAGCAACGTGATCTCCCAACGAGCTCGCCTTTGCCGAGACGAAGGCCTCGTGTTCAAGCCCCTGGACCCCGAGCAGATGATCCTGCTCAACTACCACGACGCTGGGTGGGCCAACGCGTACGAGGGCGAAGTCGACCCCGAGTTCGACCTCACCCCCGAGGACAAGGAAGCCGGAGTCCAACGAGAACTCCCACATTCTCAGCGAGAAGTTCGCAAAGCTCGCAGGGCAAACTCGAAGGTGGCCTCCCAGACTGGAGGGCTGATCCTCTTCGCGGATCGACGATGTCTCCAAGGGCGCGGGAGTCCGGCTTCAATTGTAGACTGGAAGTCTCGTGCTGGACAAAGAGTTTGCCGGAGCACTTTCGGGGCTGAGGCCCAGGCATGTGTAGAAGGGCTAGAATGTGCGCAGTACATGAGGTCCTTCTTCGAAACTCTCTGCGCTGGCTCTCTGGTCGATGTCCACTCTGCTCGCATGCCCATTTTGTGCATCAGTGATTGTAGGTCCCTCTATGATCACCTCCATCGGGAAGGAATTCCGAAGACCCCTAGTGACAGGAGACTTGCCGTGGACCTCGCAGCCTTGAGAGTTTCTTTGCGCGAAGAGAAATGGGGAGCAAAGCTTCCACTTGCCTGGGTTCCCAGCCCGCTTCAGTTCAGTGATGTCCTTACGAAGCCTCAAGACCCACGACATTGGTGGGATGCGATGAAGGAACCAATCCTTTTGCCAGTTTCTACCGCAGGGGAGGACGGCACGGTCAATGACCGAATACCCCGGGAGAAGGTAAGCAGTGTGTTCCACAGTAGAAGTGTTCGTACTGTTGATGTCCTTTCTCATGAGTATGTTTTTGAATAGTTGTGTGATTATCATCTCCCGAAGGGTTTGCTGTCCCAACCCCTCTTTTGCGAAGGTCTACGACCGAAGGCATCGTGCTCGAAGCTTGGAAAACCAGATGCTCTGGAGCCAAGCTCACTGGGAACAGGCGTGGCAGCCCGTAGGGTGGGGTTTCTTCTTTCGGTTGACTTTTGTGGTTGGTGACATCAGTAGGGGTGTTGGGTTCCTTACTGGTTTGACTTATAGTTTCATAGTTAGGGTGTAGGGTTTAGGGTTTAGGGTTGGGGGGGTTTGGGGCTTGGGAGGTTTGGGGTTTGAGGGGTTTGGGGTTTTGGGGGTTTGGGGTTTGGGGGGTTTGGGGGGTTTGGGGGGTTTGGGGGGTTTGGGGTTTGGGGTTTGGGGTTTGGGGTTTGGGGTTTGGGGTTTGGGGTTTGGGGTTTGCGGTTGATAGGGCTTGCAGTTCTTTTGGAGGCTCAGGGGCCTTGGGTGTTTCCAGGCTTTTGGGTTTGGCGCGTTTTCTTTTTTTGGGGGGAAGGCTTCAGGGGGTTGAGCAGTCTACTCTGGACCTTAATTCTGCGGGGCTCTGGGCTTAGGCTGCTCAGAGCTTTAGGGTTTCTGGCTTCGGGCAGGCGGGCTGGAATGGGATGTTCCGCCCTAAGCCCTAGGCCCCAAAACAAAAAGTTCTGAAGCCCCAAATACTTGAAGCCCGGGGCTCGTTTTCGACCTCAGCCGCAAATCCTGCAACCTGCAAGCACTTGAGCCCAAACCCGAGAACCTGCCCCTTAAAGTCCTTGAACCCTGAAGCCCTGAAACCCTAAACTTACTCTGAAGCCCCAAAAGGCCGAAACCCTCACCCTCAAACCCTGGACCCCTTTAAGCCCTAAACCCCGAAACCTGCCCGAAACCCACAGCCAAGACCCGGTCGCGGAGTAGCGGGGCGCTGAGGCTTCCCAGAGATCCTGGTGGTTTAGGGCTTAGGCTCAAGCAAAACCGTTTAACCCTAAACCCTGAGCCCTAAACCCCAAACCCTAAACCCTAAACCCCAAACCCTAACCCTAAACCCTGAACCCTAAACCCTGAACCCAAGCAAAGTTTAAGGATGAAGACCAAGAGTCCGAGCAGTGCGACATTGAGGCCATCGGAGCTCTTCGCGAGCTTCGCCCAAACTCGGGCCTCGAAGGCCTGGGGCTGTCTCTTGTTTTTGGGAAGCCCTAGGGGCTAGGGTTTAGGGTTTCTAGGGTTAGGGTTTAGGGTTCAGGGTTCAGGGTTGAGGGTTGAGGGTTGAGGGTTGAGGGTTGAGGGTTGAGTGTTGAGGGTTCAGGCCATGTAAAACCCTAAATGAAGCATATCAACCCTATCAACCCTTCTCAACCCTATCAACCCTATCAACCCCATTAACCCTGTCAACCTTATCAACCTTATCAACCATATCAAAACCCTACAAACCCTAAACCCTATGTATCTACAGAGCTTGTAGCGCTTCGAGGTGTACCGGGTTTAGCGAGTGCAGGGTTGCAGGTGGGGCCAAGGGAAATCGAGTGCCGGAGGTGCGGATGCCCGCACCCCAAATTTCGCAAACCGCTAAACCCCAAGCTGTAAGATCCTAAATCCTAAACTGCCCTGAACCCTACACCCTGACCCCTAAACCCCTAAACCCCTAAAACCCAAATCCCAAATTTCATAGTAACACGCAGCCTGGGAGTCCAAAGCGCCAGGAGTGCGACGCCACCTGCCATGCAAAAGGAAGGGGAACACCCCTCACAAGACATCCTGGGTTACTACTAGGGTCCAGGTCTAGGGTTTAGGGTTTGGGGTCATGTGGATACAGCTGCCAGAATAAGGAAATCATGTTCTTCGTTGCTAGGGGAATGTAGATAAGGTTGCCATTGCCAGAATAAGGAAACTCTGTTCATTGGAGTCCCGCAACAGCAGCCCAGACTCAGAGCAGGAACAGGCCCGCTATGCAGAAAATTGTTGTATAATTGGCAACTACATCTACATCTACATCTGCATCTGCATCTGCGTCTGAGTCTACATCTACATTTACATCTACATCCATGAGTATATGTACGTATATGTATATATATGCATACATACACACACATACATATACATATATATATATATATATACATATAAACAAAAGCGCGTGTGTATGTGTATATATATATATATATATATATATATATATATATATCGGGTCTTAAGGAGACAGTGATGCCTTAGGTGCCGGCAGCTCGGCCTTCTGGGCTGCGGCTTCAAAATTCCCATGGGAAAAACTTACGATCCTTCAACCTTTGGGATTGGAGGGGGGCTGTCATGTTCAACAAGGTTGCAGGTTACCTGCGCAGCACCCTAAGTTGGCCCGGTTTAGGGTTTAGGGGTTCGGGAAGAAGTTTAGGGTTTTGGGGCCCCTGCCACCACACATGTGAGTGCATCCACAACGCGGCCTGTGCGGGTCCGCCAAAAGCTCCACACTTGGCGGCGGCGACAAGAGCCGTCCCTGAGACAGGTGCCTTGGGCTGTTGAAGCTGACCAGTTCGGGCAAAAGGCTACAAGACTTCTGTAATAACTGTTGTGAACGGTCCACGCAGGAGGAATAACTGATGAAAGCAAAACTTCCACGACTGTTGGCGACACTTATGCTCAGATTGACCCAGCCATCGTTCCAAGATAGCTTGCCACAGCTGAAGCCACAGCTTTCAGGAATAGGCCAACCCTAAGCCAACGTTAAGAAGGCGTAAGGTGAAAGCTGCAAGTTATTCGTCACAGGTTTCAAGCTTTCCCTCCTCCCCAGAAACACTCAATTACAGAGCAGGATAGAGCAGGCATGCTTGCTCGAAGTTTGGACTGGCACTACGGTTCGATATCCAAGCATCTCTGTCACAAGAGCTACGAGCATTTTGCTTGACGATATGGTTTCGCCTACATGAACTCCGCCTTCGCACTGGCAACAGCTGCACAGCACAAATCCTTGTAAATAGGCACTTGGCGATGCATCTGGCTGGGTTCCCTCGTGAGATGGCATATGTTCCCTGCCGGCTGGTTCTAAACCCTACACAAGAGACCCCAAGTACCCTCGACCTTAAACCTTAAACCGCAAGTACCCTAATCCTGGGAAACTTGTTGGGCAAAGCCGCGCATCGAAATCGACGTGCGACAGTGCGATGGAGAGCACCCAGCGTTCATCCCCACCGGGAGGAGGGTCATACCTTGCCCGGACTGCCGTGCGTTTAGGGTTCAGGAGACCTAACCCGCAAAACACGAGACTGCACTAGAAAATGAACCCTGACACCTATATAAACCCCAAACCCTAAACCCTAAACACGTGACACACATCTGGAACAAAGCTGCAGCTGGGCGGCGTGGCTATGTGATCAAAGGAGGCATCGAAGCCGAGAACCTCGGCCCAGGAGCCAAGGCTAGGTCGGTTCAGGGTTTAGGGTTTGGGTTTAGGTCCCCCTCCCCCCCTCCCTCCCTCCCCAACCCCCCCTCACCCCCTCGATAAGATCAGTTGATTTGCACCTCGGAGGGGTTTGGCTAGGCTGGCTTTCGTGGTTATATTGTAATTCTATACTTGGAGACAAAGCTAGCCTGGATTCACGCCCTAGTGGATTTGCTGAATGCACCAAGGAGATGTACGAACACGCACTGATACTAGAAGCGATCTTTAACTCATGCAGACCGCGATCTGTAACTCTAGTTCCCTGCGTGCCCCTGATACGCTGTATGTGTTCGTGATTGGCCTAGACCGAATTGTCGATTTTGCCAATTATATTTACGGCATACTCATGCGCTCACGGACCGCGATCGATCCAGATCCGTGGAACTCTCCGAAACACGCACGCTTCAAAGAACGCGCGCTCATACACACCGCGATCTATAGCGCAACGACAGCGCATCTGTCGCCACCCACCCCTCCCTGTTTACAGACAGATTCGATGAATGGCCCCCTTTAAAAGAAACTCAACGAGAGACTCAATATCCCCCCAATTCACCTGAGAGATTCAGGATCCCCCCGCCCCCCCCCCCCCAGCCCCCCATTTTCCTCGATATTTTCACAAACATGCCCTGATTCGAAGCCCCTATAGCAAACTCCAAAAAAAGTAATTCCACGCTCGGGGCCACTCCGTCTTCACCGAAGTCCCGCCGCTCCCCTCGCACCGTGAGCGAGCTCCACCTGCATGAAACTTTGGGGCCCTTCGACGGTTTTGGGTTTAGGGATACCATAAACCCTAAACCCTAAATCCTAAACCCTAAACCTAGGACACTCCTTCAAGTCATCGAGGGTTGGTTGACCCATGTGGGCCCCCGAGCCTGCCACCCGTAAGTGGCATGAGCAGCGCAACGCGCGCGTTGGTCCCGTCGTTGTGCAGCGCGAAGAACTTCTCCCCAGGAGGCAGGCCGAACAGCGCAACCTGCCATCACAATGAAGGGCAACTTTTGGGATCAGCTGGCGAAGGTGGAAAGCCATGAAGTTCACAAACGTCAAAGTATAGCCCTAACTCCCTCAGAAGAGCCTCCTCTTGAAGGTAAGCTGCCAGCTTTGGCGACTTTGCATAGGGCAGGTGGCCGCGCAGGACCTTGCACAGCGAAGGGATCTGCTCGCAGCGCTCCTGCACCCAGCCATCCACGGCCGACCAAACATCCCAACACCACCAGCCTTCCCTGCCACTGTACCTTGCTTGGGATGGGTTTTCGGGCCGGGCGGGTTAGAGATTTATGGGGTATGGGGTGTGGGTTTCGTTGGTTCAAGGCCCGAGTTTGTTTTGCCGTTTGGAGTCCGGGTTCGCGCGCCATAGGTATAACGGTGTAGAGTGGAGTAGCTGTTGCTGAATTTCAAGGGCCGGGCCACTCCTGCTCCTCCAAGGTCAGCTTCCCACCCCGTCGGCTGTAGGACTTCAGAAACTCTGCCTTCCATGAAGCAAGGGCTGTGCTCATCGGGGTTCGGTCAGATGCCGCTGCACCCTAAATCCGAGACCTTTGACCCATCCTAAAGCCTATATAAACCCTACTCCCTGAACCCTGAAACCTGAAACCTGAACCCTGATCAAAAAAAAATAACCTCAAACTTGAGGGGCTGGAAAGCGCTCCTTGATGGCAGGGAAATTTGCTCGAAGCTCTCGCACCAGCTGCGGGTAGTCGTCTTCACCGTACCAAGCCTGGGAATGTTATATCTATTTGTATGTATATATTTACATACATATATATATATATATATATATATATGTATATGTATATACACATATGTATATGTACACACGTGTATATGCTGACTTTAATTTATGTGTGCATTATACATATACATATACATATGTATATATATATATATATCATGTAGTGCAAGGTTTGCAAACCCACTTAACTAGGGGGCCGTGTCGGCTGGAACATGTACAGCTTTCTCTTGATCTGTTTCGTTCGAAAGCTGGGCTCAACAACTTTGATGTTCGAATTTGAGAAACTCTGATGTTCAAGCTTCTCTGGTATAGCGAGGCTTTCTTGATCTCCCTCACCCAAGTAATTTCATCGCGCTGGCTGCGGGCTGGCGACCCAAATCCCTAACCCCGCCGCTCGCAAGCTTGAACCCGAAACCCACGGCCCGGCTAAGTCACCTGAGACCGCAGTGTGGGGTAGAAGAGCATGGGTGTCTGGTGAAAGTCCCGCCAAGCGAAGAGGTCCTCAGAACAGCACTGTTGTCAAGGGTTTGGGTTTGCCTGCAGGGCTTCTAAGTCTCAAAAACTTACCCTTGTAAGCCCCCCCAAAATCCTCACACTCCGAGGATCCTTGGTTGCTTGGAACAAGGACAAGGCCGAGCCAGGGTCGATTTGCTTGGCAAGTGCCAGCAGCTCATGGACCATGTGACGCTCGTGGCAGCTGCTGTCCAGCAGGCACAGGGAGCTTAGGCACTTTGGCCGTCCAGCAACTTCGGCCTCGCCCAAACTTGTGGAGTCGGGCAAGCTTACCCAACACTCCGGCCGCAGCATGGACTTGCTGAGCATCTGGGCACGATGTGCCAGGTGTCGCCAACGCATCTCAGAGCTTGGGGCAGCGGTGTGGAGGTCCATCAGCGAGAGGAAGGATCCCCAGAGAGCCGTGCACGACACCGCAGATTCCAGCCTGGAACATACATTGGCGACCATGGCTTCACACTGCGCGCCATCGCAGAGCCCTGCACGCAATGGAACTCCCTGCAGCGCCAAGATCAGCCCAAAGAGGCTGGCCACGACTCCCAAACGCATCCTCCACTTCCACGCTCAGCAAGTTTCTAAGTGCAGCCAAACCAAGAGCTGAGCTCCCTGTCAGAGGCAACGCGACTCGCCAGCGTGAACTTCCAAAACTCAAAATGGCACTGCCGCTAATTCTGGATGGAAGGCGTCCGTGACTCTTCAATTTTGCAAATTGGGCGGCTTGGGCCACAAAGAATGCTGCGCGGCAGCAGACCTCAATCGAGAACCGCTCCATCTCAGCCAGAGCTTGCCCGTGCTTGACCAGGAGTGTACACAATGCAACTCACTACGTTCATCTTATCTTCCATTCTGATTATAATTTTAGAGCTTACACGGTTCGCACACGCTGGCAATACGACTCAAAGGACAAAATGAGCCAGCGACCGACTCAGAATATTAATATTGCATGGGCGCTTCCTCATTTTTCACTGGATGCTCAGGGTGAGCTTGTGGCAGAGTCCAAGGAGGATGCAATTTCTTGGTTTGCTACTACCACTACACAACATCCTGCTAGTCCTGGCATAGTTTAGTGGCGTGCATACGACGTTGGACCCTCCATTCTTTTTCTCCGTCGAAAACCATGGCGCCACGTGAGCATTAGCCACTTGTGCAGGGCGTCTTCACCTGTCATGGGGGGCCGGGCTCATCCAGGGCCCGTAGATCGAAGTTGCAGAATTGATGCGCAACTCCCGTCACAAGGGGAAAGAATGACTGCAAAGGAAGCTCCTCTGGCGTTTGGGCTCACTTGGTCTACATAGGCAAAAGAACCAGGCTGGGCAGAAGTGTCTAGCGACCTCGCATAAGCCCGCCCATCAATCAAGAGTGAGACCAGCCACACAGAAGGGCAAGGCCACTGCTTTGGCAGCCTCACCAACCCATCATCGAATAAGCCCTCCCATGTCAGGCTTAGGGCCTCAGCGGTGGCTTTGCGAGAGCATACTTTAAGCATTATAGGATTCCCTCAGTAACCCGGGGGGTTGGGGTTCCACTGCGGGCAGAAAGCTGCTTTTGGTGTGGCGACCGGAGCGGCCAAACGTCGGAACCCTACAAAACCTCGACTACCAGACTCGCCCTAAGGACCACAGACGAGTCCTTGGTGCAGATCCCTGAAAACTAACTGAAAGATCCTGAAGATGACTGTGGCCACCTATGGCACCCTTCTTTCTTGAGCACCAGGGGCTGCCGCAGTCCCCGCCGCAAGTCGGACGCGCGGTCCTTCGCGCCAAGGCCCAAACACCCACTAACCTTGGAGTAGAATGGCTCGACTATTGAACGGTGGGACGGGGACATGGTGCAGACTCTGCATGGAAGGCACTCATCGGCCAGGTCCCAGAGCAACACAAACCTTGGAATGCAAACACAGGGGGGGAGTGCCTTTGCTTAGGGAAACCCATCAAGGGCTCGCAGATTAGGGTAAAACCCTAAACCCTAACCCTAAACCCTAAACCCTAAACCCTAAACCCTAAACCCTAAACCCCAAGCCCTAAACCCTAAACCCTAAAACCCTAAACCCTAAACCCTAAACCCACCCAAAACCCCTGGAGTGGTCTCCTCCATGTTGGCCAAAGACCGGTGCAGGCCTTTCTCCATCTCCTGCACTCGTGCGGAGACTCCGGGGTTCAGGATGTGGGGCTTGGGTGTAGGATGCTCGGGGCTCAGGGTTTCGGGTTAGGGTTGAGGGTTGAGGGTTGAGGGTTGAGGGTTGAGGGTTGAGGGTTGAGGGTTGAGGGTTGAGGGTTGAGGGTTGAGGGTTGAGGGTTGAGGGTTGAGGGTTGAGGGTTGAGGGTTGAGGGTTGAGGGTTGAGGGTGGAGGGTGGAGGGTGGAGGGTGGAGGGTGGAGGGTGGAGGGTGGAGGGTTGAGGGTTGAGGGTTGAGGGCTGAGGGCTGAGGGCTGAGGGCTGAGGGCTGAGGGCTGAGGGTTGAGGGTTGAGGGTTGAGGGTTGAGGGTTGCGGGTTCAGGGCTTAAGGCTTAGGACTTGAGACTCAGGGGTGTGAGTCTCGGGGTCCAGGATAAGACGGCCCAAAAAAATCGAGACCCCTTGAAAGGGAGATGAGACATTTTGGGGGTTTAGGCTTTAGGGTGTAGGGTATTGCTTGTCCTGCAGCTGCCGTGTGGTTGAACGCTGTTCGTTCAGGCACCTCCATGTCTGGAGAGATGCTGGCTTCAGGGGTTTGGGGCTTCACAGCTTTAGAAACTATTGGTTGGGGGTTGGGAATTTTAGGGTTCAGTGGGGTTCGCCAGAAGCTACCTATTTGAGGGATTCGAACCTGCTACTTTAGAGAGTCTAGGGTTTGGGTGCAGGGTATCGGCTCAGGATGCGCCAACGAAAAGTCGGCTCTCTTGGCTGAGGGCGCAGGAGCGCTACTGAAATCCAGCTGCCCCCCCAGAATGCGGCGTCAATTTCGCCTCAGGCTACGGTTCACAAAGCCCCATGCAAAAGACTCCTACGCAACCTGCACAAACAAACGAATCAAACGAGGCTGTGGGGAGGGCAAACTCTTAAAAAAGCACCGAGGCCCCAAGCCCGAGCCTACACGTCTCTGAGTCAACTCTCCACTGCAAAACGATATGGGGCCCCTTGTTGGGTTCCAACACGGACCTACCACACTCTCTCACAGAAAAGAAAGAAAGAGAGACGGTCATCTGCCCCAAACCTCTAAGCCCCCCCGAAAGAGCCCTGAACCCTCTGATATGGGGCGCCTCCGGAGATCGGTATCCTCCATCCTTGTGCACTGTGGGCTTTGGGCCGCCACGGCTCGAAATTTAGGGGCGTTTGGGGCTGTGAGAAAGTGCGGGTTTTGAGGGGTTTGTGGGCTTAGGGACTTTCTAGCTGTTTGGGCTTGCTGCTCGTCTTGCCCAATCAAGCTGCAATCTCAACCCAAAGGCGGTGGCCAGGCTACTGCATCGCTGCTGTCATCACGGCAGCCCTGAGCAACCATGAAATACCCTGAGCCCTGGAGCCAACGAAATCTTGACCCGAGTTCAGTCGGGCAGCAGCAGGCTGTCCCATCGGCTTCGGTCGAATGAGGTCGTCAGGTCCTGCCGGGTTGATCCAAGTCATGATCCCTGTTCTTCCCTTAACTGTATGCAACATGCGAGTGAGGGGCCCTATGACATGAAGGACGCCCGTAATTTGGACCAACAGGAATTCAGGCTGAGGTCTAGTATGCAGGGAAGCGGACTGTGCAAACAAAGATCATCAGCGTCCATCCAAGAACCCCCAGAGTCCCCGAACACTAAAACCCTGGCAAAAGTATGCACGCAAATGTTAGTAGCGAGGAACATTCAAAAAAAATGGTTCAAAAAAATCGTCGTATAAATACATATATGTATACATCTGATATGTATATATATATATATGTTTATGTATACATATGCACACATATGTATATATATATATATATAATGCACATATATATATACAATTATATGTTCCTCAACCCCACGGCCTCCCCCGGCCGGGTGAAGCGCCCTGAGGCCGGCGAAGGCCTGGCAGGCTCCGGGCTCCTGACACGGAGTTTTGGAGAGATTAGGGTTTAGGGTTTAGGGCTTGGGGTTTAGGGTTTAGGGTTTAGGGTTTAGGGTTTAGGGTTTAGGGTTTAGGGCTTAAGGCTTGGGGTTTAGGGTTTAGGGTTTAGGGTTTAGGGTTTAGGGTTTAGGGTTTAGCTTTGGGGGGGCGATTGGGCCGTGGGGCGTTGGGCGAAGCTATGCTCCATAGGCAGCCGGAAGGATACTTGCCTGGTAAACGGGGAGCAAGATTGATGCATGAGCCTCATGTTACGTTAGATGTTTTGATGTTTGCCTCCTGCAGCATCTTTGTCTTTACATGTTGGTAGACGGTGACTGGGGTTCTGGGCCTTCCTCTAGCACTGGCAGCACGCGGCCCCAGACTCTGCAATCCAACAAACCTCCCCTACCAAAGTCGCCCGAATCACTAAACCCCGAAACCCCCAAAACCCCTAAACCTCCTAAACCCGCTAAACTCCTAACCCCCCCCCTCCCCCCTAAACCTCGAAAGCCCCGCTAAACCCCAAGTCGGTGTGCCTCCTTGGGGGGCTGCGCCGGGCCTCGGCCTTTTGGAGGCGCGAGGACTTGGCGGCGATGGAGCGCTGGAGCTGGCGCGGCGTGGGTGGCTTTTTGCTTTGCTTGCCTTTTGCTGCTGTAGGGTCAGGCTTCCCAGATTCATGGTCCCTTTTTGGGTCTCCGGCTGAATACGGAGCCTTAAATGTTGGGGTACCCCCTACACGTGACCGTAAGTTAGAGAACTGGCCGAAGGCAGTTCTGTTCGGGTTTAGGGGTTTGGGGCCGGGTCAAGCATGTGCATGGGGCAAGTCATTGTGGACGCACCTTTGGTCACAACTAGCTCAGGGGCGCTGGCAGCTATCTCCCGCATTGCATCTCGCGAATCATCCTGAACGTGGCAAAGCCATCCGTTGCGCCCTTGTGCACCCCAGGCATGTACCACCATGGACAGTATTCTGCCTTGATCTCCTCAGTGACCTCTGTGCCAGGGGGCACCGGCATCTCATGTTGCAGGTGCTGCAGCTCTTCCATTCGCAGTCCCAAGTGGTCCAGCAGCTTCATCTCGCTGTACAAAGCAGAAAGGAACCAACGGCCCGTGTGGCCATTCCCATGGGCTACCACAGGCTGCTCCAACGTCTGCCGATTCTTCATCCGTGGCTTTGGCGGAGAGGTGCTGTGGTCGAAGACCACGTCCCACTGGGGCTGCTCCTCGTACATGCACTGGAACACGGCACACCTTGGGGGAGATTTTCTGGGGGGGGGGGGTGTTCATGCATGTACTAAGACTTGTTTTTGTGTTCATTTAAGACAGACAAATGGCCTGTAACAGGAAAGCCCACACCTGGATCTACAACAACAAAACACCAAGGAGTTGAGAAGACGATGCCAGGGCGCTGCGTGTCCAGCAGAAAGGGATACCTGCTGCCCCGCGCTGCCCGGGCGATCAGGAAATCGTGGAGCCGGACCTGGTCGTTCTCCTCCGCTGGCAGCGACCCTTCGCCACCCGTGTCGTGGATGAGGCCGTGGAGCAGGTCGGCCATGGTCTGACCACGGGAAGTAGCAGCAAGCAACTATGTAGCAATGGAACAGGTACTTTAGTAATACGAGTACAGTTCATCAAGATATATAACTTATAACAACTACACGTACTGTAGTTCAAGGTATAGAACTGGCACTGGCAGACGCAATGCCCGAAGCAATCATGGTGGCCACATGTGGCCACCGTCATCGCAGGCAGAGGTGACTTAACAGCCGGTACAACAAACGGCACGTCACCAGATCATCTGAGGCTTTTGGGAATAGCTCACCCACCCCGCCTCTGCAGGTCCCACGAGGCCCCCCGAGTTGGGATAGCCTGGTCAACACGGGCATTTAGGCTTTAGGGATTACGGGCGCCAGAGGAGCATCGGGCTAACAGATGTGATCCTTTTGCAATTCATAGTTCAAATCCTTCAGCACCGAATTGCTGACGTGCGGTTAGGGGAAGTTTGGGCCCGGGCTACTGAGGGTTCAGTGTAGTGTTCAAAAGGGTCTTTTAATTAATTGTTTGCCCCTGATTCTCTCGTCTGGTGCAGCACAGGCACGCCACGGCGTGCTATCGTCCGGATAGAGAGCTTCCATCTGAGCCTGTAGGCCCTAACAGGTGTGTGGAAAGTTTGAGGCGTAGCCCCAGCTTCCTACGGAGGGCTTTGCAGTTCGGGAAGCAGAGGGGGGGGGCGGGGGAGGAAAGGGGCGAACGCTCCTTGATATCCCCGTTTCTCAAAAAAGATCCCCTTCAAGCTCCTGCGATCCAAAGCGGACCCTAAAAGCCCTGAGGTGCCGAGGCGCCAAGCGACCTTAAACCCCAAAGCCTAACCTGCGTCCTTCGATGATGTCAGTTTACTTAGCGGGGGGGGGGGGGGGGGCGGACGCTGCATACGCCCTTGAAGCCCAAGGCCCTAAACCCTAAACCGAGCCAGGCATCGACCAGGAAGTGGTTGGGGCCACAGACGCGCTCCGTTCCGCCGAGGATGGTCTGCCGACACATGTTTAACATGTTTAACCCTAAAACTAAAACCCTAAACCTATGGTTGAAGCTGTGGTTTTGGAGCCCACTTCCTCTCGACTTCCCACTCTTCTTTCCTCTGTCTCTTTAAGTCTTCACAGCGGGCCCCCTTGAGACGCTTCAAGCTGAACACGCCGCGACACCTTGGGCGGGATCGCCGCCAGCTTGTTTCGGAGCTCGTCAGCTGGCGCCAGGATCACCTCACCAAGCAGCCGCACTCAGGGGTGCATGAGGCATACAGCGTGAGGCGAGGCCAGCCCCTCAAGCCGCAAGCATATCCGAGCCCGGGCGCCGTGTCCCAGGCATCCAGGAGCATCACCAGATCTTCTGGCTGAAGCGCCGTGTCCAGCAGGCCTGGGCTGACGAGGCGCGATGTGAACGAAAGGTTTCAGGGTTTACTTTGACCTGCATACCCATCATACTGACACATCCTAAGCTATCCTAAGCCGGACTTCCGAACGCGGGGTAGGTATCCGAGCGGTGAGTTTGCAGCGCAGTATTTCGCAGTATCATGCAGCCTTAAGAGCCTTCAACAGAAAGGAAACGAAACCCGACCCCGCTCCAATAAACTGTGGGTTTGGGTCGTGGAATTCGTCTGAAAGTCGTACCTTAGGTGCTGGCAGGTAGCCTAGGCAGCAGGAGAACAACACCACCTACAACAACGAAGACTTTTGGGGTCTTAAGGCAAAGCCTAACTCCCTCTCATGGCGGATGACGCCGAAGCGTGCGCTCGTAGGCCAAGAACTTCGTGGCAAAGCCGCGCCAGGGCTCGCCCAGGCCCACAGTGTGGAAGCGGAAGCCTCGGCAGGTGGGGCTGGGGGGCAGGAGGAGGGCCGGGGTTGGGGTTGTGGTTCGTGGTTCAGGATGGAAGCTGATTGGTGTCACCCAGGGGAATGGAGGGCTAAAGTCCGGTGCGCGGCTCGCTGCATGCGAGCAGCCGTTGCGCGCCGCGCTTCGTTGCAGAATCGCTGTCTCTTGGCGATACTCCGTGGCACAGGCCAGCACGTGCACTGGACGGCTCGCGGCCGACATGGCAGACTTCGCGTCTGCCCTGGCTCCAGTTGACAGCCTCCGCCATCCCTGGCCTCGTCTCCAGAGTTCCGCAAAGGAGGATCCTGAGCGAGCAGCGGGGACGGCAAAGGATACACCGAGAACCCGAATCCCCACACTTTAAAATACCCGCTATAACCCCCAAAGCCCCAAACCCCGATCGGCGGTTAAACCCGACAAAGCCCTCTCATCATCTCTCATCCTTAGAGCCACCCAGGCTCCCTGGCTGTGCAAGGCCACCACACATGCCACGGCACCGGCCAGGCGAGGGAGTTTGCATGGGCCTACTGCGGAGTTCCTCCGCATCTGCGACATTCTAAAGTATGCGACGTGTCAGACACTAAGCCCGAAAGCCTCAACCCCGCCTGCGTAAAGTGAGGGTCCTTGCAGATTTCCCGATATTTCCCGTGCTTGCGGGAGAGCTTGGAAAGGGCAAAACATGCACGGATCCGTGCAAGCTGCTGAGCTGCGAAAAAACAACTGCTGCTCGGATGCACTGCCAGAGCTTTCACCACGCACTCAAGCGAGCCGGAAGCTGCGAACGTTGACGCCAAGACGACTGCCAACGACACTTGTAAGATTGTAAGATCTTGTAAGTAGACGGCATGCCTTTCCACAAGCCACTGGCGCCTGCCGAAGCTCCTCAGCCTTCCGCGACTTCTCCTGTCGACCCATGGTACATCCAATCCCAGGCTACAGGGACTGGGGGTTTGGAATGGGTTGAGAATGTCTTAATTCTGATGACCTCAGGTTCCCAGTGGCCCAGGGCTATAGCGTGCGTGACGTAGAGACGCGGCGAAGTACACTACAGCGCCTTCTGGGCCATGAGTGAGCCCTTAAATCCTTAGCTTCAGAACTTCTTACAGCAGTTCATCAGAAGGGAAAATGTTCATAAGTAAACCAAAAGGCCCTCCGAAGCCTCGACCCTAAATTTTGACCCTGGAGCCCTAACACCCAAGTCACTGGCTCTTTTCTGCTTGCTCCTTCTTCTCTTGCTGTTTGGGACCCTGAACCCTAAACCCTAAACCCTAAACCCTAGACCCTAAACCCTAAACCCTAAACCTTTGGGTGGGGGGGTCGCCTTCTGAAGCGCTTCCACGCTCTGTCGGTTCTTTGCCTCGCCAAGGGTGGAAGACTCGAAGACTGACGTGGAGGGTTTAGGGTTTAGGGTTTAGGGTTTAGGGTTTAGGGTTTAGGGTTTAGGGTTTAGGGTTTAGGGTTTAGGGTTTAGGGTTTAGGGTTTAGGGTTTAGGGTTTAGGGTTTAGGGTTTAGGGTTTAGGTTTTTTTTTGTTTTTTTTGAGGGTTTAGGGTTTAAGGTTTAAAATTTAGGGTTTAGGGTTTAGGGTTTAGGGTTTAGGGTTTAGGGTTTAGGGCCTGGTATCTTTTTGGCGGGGGGCTTGGGGGGGAGGGGGGGCGGGGTGGAGGGGAGGCTATCGGGTTTGGGATTTTTTGTTTGCTCGGGAGGGGGAGGGGGGGGGGGGGGGGGGGGGGGTGTTGGGTTGTTTGGGGGGCCGGGATTTTGGGCTGTAGAACTGGCTTGAGGGTTTTTCGGGGAGGGCTGCACGGTCACATGTTTAAGGTTTTGGGCTAGGGCCTTAGGATGCAGCGCTGTCATCTTCCTTTACGTAATCGGGACTTGGGGGCACAGCGCCCCACTCGGCCCTAAACTCTATCCAGAAAGCCTAAACCCTGCAACAACGAAGGTCTGGAAAAAAGTTTCCCAGCTCTGATGCAGAGGAAATAGTGAAACTACCTCCCTCCGCCGGGTCAAGCCCGCAAACCTCCCACAGGGTTGAGGCTTGAGGAAGCCCCACACCCGAAAACCTAAATCCTGGTACCCGAGTCCCAGAAGCCACCACAGCACAGCGCCTTCAGGGCGTTCAAGCGCCGGCTACCCTCCTGCACCTGGTGGTGTTTTTGTTGGGGGTGGATGCCTTCGGGCTTTGGGTTTCCTTGTGGCGTGAAAGCCTCAACTAACCCCAGCTCAACTGGAGGCCAGCGATGGTTTCAGAGCACTCATCAATGTGGGTTCTAAGAGTAGGATGTTCTGTTCCGGATTCAAGCCTGTTTTGTTTATGAATCCTGTTCATCCTCGGTCCTGTGCCTCGTGGGATGTCAGAAGGAGAGCAGATTCTGCCCTCGCCCACGATCTCAATGATGGTTCACGGTCTGAGGTTTGGGGTACCCTGAACAGCAATGCCCTCAAATCATACAAGCTGGGATGTAACTTCAATCCCAAGTCAGGCAAGAGCCCGAGCCCACTCAACACACCCACGCCGCCTCCTGCTCGGTCTGCGCCAGCCGCGCCTTTGGCTAAACTCTGAACCTAAAGTACATAAGCCCGAATCCTACTCACCCGGTGCAGGGTTTGGGGGCTTTGGATTTTGTGGCCTCGTGGCTTGAGGGCATGTGGCGGAAACAGGCTCTTGAAGCTTCAGTGTTCTCCCGTGCTTCTTTGCGGGGCATCGCGAGGCTGGACAGCAAAACCCATGTGCCCCAAGTTCAGTCGTGTCTCGTGCTCCTTATTGGCTCGGTTTGTGAGCTGAACCCTGGAAAAAGAAGGAAACCGTTTCATGAGGCGAAGGGCGCTTCTCCCAGACCCTGAACGCCCCAAACCCTAAAGACGCCCTCTTTAGATGTTGCGGGGTTCACAGCGAGGGGCCCCTGGGATCTCCGGGCTTTGAAAGGTCGCACGCGAGACTGAACAACTGTTTCTCCCTACACACAAGCAGCTACCACTGAGCCCCCCCCTCCCCCCCCTCGAGGCGCCTGTTTTCGCTGCAGCTCCGCTTCTAGTTCCTGCGCGAACAAGATCAACTTCAGGGGTAACAGAGCGCAGGCTTTGAGGTCAACATTAAGCCCAAGCCGAAATTTTACATTTCTTGAGAGTCCAAGCCCAAAAATGCAACACAAAGCAGAAGCGTCACAACCCCCTGTCAAAAGGACATCTAATGAACTCCCTAAATCTCGGTGCCCCCCTAAGTGCTGACACTCCCCCCCAAGGGCCACCTCCGTGCGAACACGGAGCTTCTCGGACTTCTGCCGGAGGCCTCGGGGGTGTCAGGGCACGGCTTGCAGGGGCTTTAATATGGGAAGTTCAATGAGAGACGGGTATTCTGAGGGTACTTGTAAACAAGCTTAACTATACTTAAACTCCTTAAATACAATAATGAAATTCCCGCTTCGAAGGGGATGACTTAGAGGCATGTCTTTCGGGCTTGGAGGTTTTTGGGCATGGGGGTCAGAGCCTGTTGGGTTTCTTGGGTTTGGGAATGGGTTTGGGAATGCAGGATGCATGTGTTCAAGGGTTTACGCTTAGCTTCCTGCCCACATGCTGCCCCCCTCAGGTAAGCGCTGCCTACATCTCAATAAGACCCCACGGCAACAGTCGACATGCCACCATGAACTTCGTACAATCTACATCCTACTCAGATCGCAAGTCTTAGGACGAGGCAGAACCCCGCTCCTACAAAACGGGAAAACCCGGATCTCAAAGGCACACCATGGAACAACGAACCGTAATCAGCGTGTTTGCAGGCCTTCATGGATGTTCCTGTGCTTGTGTCTGTGACCATACCACCAAACAACTCAAACAACCTCGATACAGGCCCGCCTTGACCCAACTTGGGTGGACACGCTGCGGTCAAAGGGTTACAGGGCATACGGAGGTTTTAGGGGATGGCGGACGGTTGCTGAGTTCAGGGTTCTGCGGGCTCTGAGGAGGCAGCACTGTGACTGCGGACATTGGCTCAAAACCCCTATAGGCCCTTTTTGGCTCGCGGCTCCGGATCCTATTCCCGTACGATAACGTTGCGCCACAAACTCATGTCTGCATCTGGCTGCGTGGCTGGAGAGCTCCAGATCCGCCGAGTGCTGGATTTCCGAAATTGAGCCCTGGCCAGAAGGGATGCGACAAAGGGCCCTACGTTTCAGGGCGTTTCAGGGTTTTGGGAAGCTAGGATTTTGTGGGGCCGGATGTTCGGGGGTTGGGGCCGACCCCTATTATAATCCCTTTTGGGACCCCAACCGGAACCCTACAACTGGGAAATGCAGTGATACAGCGTTTGAAGCCTTGAAGGAATGCCCGAAAATCCCCTAAACCCTAAACCCTCAACCCTAAACCCTCAACCCTAAACCCTCAACCCTAAACCCTACACCCTAAACCCTAAGCGCCAATGGCCTCCAAGGTCAGCAGCTGCTCCGATGGGACCTCCATCGCTGCCTGGGAGCCGGCGCCCGTGGACAAAAACCCGTCGTCTCGAAGAAGGGCTTTAGGGTTTAGGGTTTGGGGTTTAGGGTTTAGGGTTTGGGGTTTAGGGTTTAGGGGTTTTAGGCTTTAGGCTTCAGGGTTTAGGGTTTTTGGGTGTGCGCTTTAGTAGGGTTTAAGGTTTCGGGGCCGTTCAACCATCCCCAATGCCGAAACAGCCAGGAGGGAAAAAGACCCTCAATTGGCACCCAGTTTAAGACGGTTTGGGTACAGCATGGTTTGAGATTTAGAATTTAAGGCTAGGCTTAAGGGGTTAGGCTTTATAAAGGGTTCATGCTCTTCGTTACTTGCTTGCTGGTCCAGTTTCCTATGACTTCTCCCCTGTCGTCACAGGCTACTTGCCGGGGTACCCTGAACACAAAGATCACAGCGGGCATCAATCGACATGTTTGTCGTCACAGGCCTGGGCCCGCTTCTTCTGAGCATCCGGCCTTGTAAGTAGCCGCTTGCTCTTGCCGGAGTCTCTCTGCCTCCTCCACAAAGTGGTGAGGTCCGGGTTTCAGAAGGGTTTCGGGATTTAAGGGCGATGAGCTGACTTTAAACTCTGATCCCTACAAGTGGTGACCTGGCTTCTCCACCGACCCTGATCTCCTGATGGAGGCTTTCGCAGCTGGCTTTCTCTGCCTCGCAGCATCAGCTGTGCGCGAGGATTGAGGGCTTTGAGCTCTGAGGGGCTTTGGCGCGTTGGGGGTTCAGGGGCGCTTGACGGGAACAGTGCATGAGTTCAGGATTCTGGCCCACGGGTCCACAGGTATCTTGAAGTCGGATCTTTCGTGAAATGCAGATCAACCCGTTTGAGCCGAAGGTTTCGAGTTGAGGGGTTTGGGGGTTTGGGGGCAAGCCCTGAGCCCTAAGCCCGCAAACGCACTCAAACACACTCCTCCTGCCTGGATCCGCCGCTCGAGCTCCCGACGCTCAGCATCGCACTCGCTGGTAAGCCGAGCCAGCTCCTCCACAGTGAGGGTTTAAGATGAACACTTGGCACAAAAAGCAACAAACCTTAAACCCTGAGCCCCATGTGTTGGGGTTTAGGATACATTTAGGAGGGGGGGGGGGGGGGGGGTGTCCTCGAAAAACTCGATGCCTTCGTTGAGCCGGAAGTTTATGTTTTGCTAAGCAGAGTCGCGCAAACCCGAACTGGGGGCTGATCCAAACTCGGGGCCACGTGTCAGACCCTTGCTGCAATGTGGGGCCGGCAGATCAAATCTTGCCCAACACCCCTCAAGGGGGCGCCTGCTCGAGGCTGTCCTTGCGCTCGCTGAGCTGCTGCTGCGCTGCAGCTGCCTGCGTTGGGGAGGGCGGCTCACGGTCTCGAATCTTTGCTTCGTGTTTCTGGGTCTGCCCCAGTAATAATCCGGGGGTCCGGCAAGGCTGAGCAGGGTGGAGGCTTCAGGTGCCAAAGGTTTAGGGGTAAGGGCCTCTAGGCCTCCTCTATACAGCATCCCAAGGTTGAAGTCTTAAGAGGGCTTTGCGCTTAGTTAGGGTTGGGGGAACAGAGCTCGATAGCACGGACGAAGGCTCTTCGGAAATGTGGCCTGCTGCAGTTATTGCGGGCTGCCGTGCCAGAGGCACGCAAACTTGGAATGCTGGAAGCTGGGGGTTTAGATACTTTTGGGGCTCGAGGGGTCTCTGAAAGGGGCCATGAGAAGTCTATTTTCAATTCGGCCATCACGGGCGTGGGGAGAAAGCATGCTCTGTGGCGCTGCCATGCGCTTTGACGGTCCAGTCGCCGTCCTTACGGGCAGTGACCACGATGCGGGCCATTTGCCAGCCAGGCCTGCCGCCTCCCTTGCCATCCGGACCCCAAACCTCCTGGAAAACCTTGTCGCTCGCAGCCTGCACACCTCTCAGCACCTCGGGCCCGTACGGGCCTCCTGCGTTGGCACCCACCAGTGCCGCGCTGCTCGCCGGCGTCTCAGCGGCCTCCAGCTGCGCCAGGGCACTGGCACCGGCCGCCATCTCGCCTTGCATCCGACGGCCCACGGACTGCTCGGCGAACTCGACATCGTTGATCTCGAAGTGGATGACCAACTTGTTGTATCCTTCCGGGAAAGCGAAGTCAATGTACTCATACATGGCGAGGTCCCGGCCGCTAGTCTCGGCCATGACATTCAACTCCTTCTTGCGCGCCTCCCGCACCAGCAGAAGCCCCACCATCTCCGACACTTTCCGGTAGCGGGAAAAGATGGCCTCCTTGGCGGCGGCATACTCGTCCACATCCGTGATGGTGTAAAGCTTCCGGAAATCCTCGTTTGCCAGGGTGGCCACGATGAAGTCCAGCTGTCGAAAGAAGCTGTTAACACCGCAAGGAAGGTCGGCAATGTTCGGATCCGTGCTTTCCATGCCCATCGCCTCAGCAAGCACCGCTGGAAACCAGGGCTCATAAAGAGAGGATGTCTTGCGAATGCCGTTGAGCCCTGTTACCAACACCGCCCAGGGCTTGGATGCTTTCCTGGAGGCCGCAGCAGACACCGCGTTGTCCCACCCCCCTCCTGCCAGCACGCGCTGGAAGACCTGCTGGAAGGTACCGTCATCCGGTCCAGCGATGATGTCTGCCATTTGTTGCGAGGCTTCAGCAGTCTCCGGCCAGTTTTTGTGGGTCGTGTGCGCAGTCTTGGCAAGCAGCTCTCCAAGAGCATCCTGGTATGTGCCGGCATCCGCACACAGGTTGAGGTGACTCTTCACCATCGATGCGAGCTCGCTGCTCGTCAGCGGGGTGAAGTTCGTGGCGTTCGCCTTCATGGTGGTGAACATGGTGACCGCGCTCATCAGCTGAATGAGCAGAAGCAGACCAATCAGCAGGACCCCGGCCTGCCTCCTGGCATGTTGATGTTGTCACTACACCAGCTCAAACCCGAAGGCCCAACTGCACCCTTCAGTTCCCAAGTCCTTACAGGAACCCGAAATCTTTATTCGAAAGCCCCCTGAAGCGCCGTCATCTGGTCCTGAAGCTGCCACGCCGGAAGCTGTGTCGCTGAATTGGCCGGGAGCTCATCGCTGCATCTCTGGTGGGCCCAAAAAAAGTGCCGGGGGTCAACAGGGTTTAGGGGCTTAGGGTCTTTAGGATCCTGCTTACTCCAGACTGTGGTAGCCCTTGCAAGTGCTTCGACCTGATTTTCTTAGCTTCCTTTAGTACAAGTGCCCCTCAAGCCTCACAGGATCTGTCAAAGCAAGCCCCGGAACCCCAATCCCAAGCCCTTCGAGACCCCTGATGTAGGCCCGGTCTGCAGCCCGCGCCCTAAATCCTAAGCCAAAATGCCCAACCTTACAGACACCGACAAAGACCCTACCCCCAGACCTTCAGGCCATGCATCCCTGCGCAAGCCGGCGACGCTCCTTTTTCTTACGTCACCTTCCGCACGGCCGCGATCAGATGTTCCCGGGACAAGATCCCGCGGAAGTCCCCACCTTGGCTCGTTTGGTGGCGCTGGGTTGTTGGTTTGCCTGAGCTGTTTAAGTACTCCTAAGGACCTTAGCGGGGCGTTCCTGTAAGGGGTGCGTGGGGGGGGGGGGGTCTAGGCGGGGTTTTTGGGTTTAGGGCCACTTTCGACTTCTCGAGCTTTTGGATTTTTAGTTTAGGGTCTCAGGGTGTGGTGTTTAGGGTTATTTGGGGCATTGGGGCAGAGCTTCAGATCCTACCTTTGAAGGACAACATGCTAGCTACCTTGTACTGGCCCGCGCGTTGAACCTCAAACCTTAAGATCTTAAGCCCTGAACCTCTGATCCCCACAACCCAGAATCAAGCCCGCCCTCCTAACCAACTCTCTGGTGTGTCTTGAGCCCGACAAAGAACGTATGGAGGTCACGCAGCAAGCGCGCTCCCCGGCCTGGCAGGCAGAGGTTTGAGGTTTAGGGTTTAAGGTTTACAGTTTGGGGTTTAGAGTTTAGGGCTCATGGGACCCAAGACGACTCGGACTCAGGGTGCTGCTTAGTTGGAGCCTCACAGGGCTACTCGGAACCTTCACCTCTGCACTAAGCATGTCGGCACCGGGGCAAAGCACCTTGGCGAAGAGGGCGTAGAGCCGTGGTGCGGGCATGTCCTCTGAGTCGGAAGCTTGCCGAAACAAACCTCAAGCGCCTGGTGGCCAAAAAACAGGGGCGACTTCTCGCCGCCCCCAAAAAAGGGAACTGTGGCCCCAAACCAGTATCTACCGGCTTTTACTGCGCCAGGCGTACGTTGAGGGACATCCGTAACTCGAGTTATGCGTCCTCGACGACGGCGAAGGGGGTGGGATCCTGGGCTGCTCCGGGGCTCTTTGGGAATCCGGGTTTTGAGGTTGGGGGCTTTTTGGCTTAAGGTCAAGATGGAAGGTGCCCTCTGAACTTCATCTGCGAACCATGTCTCCATACGATGGCCCTAAACCCTAAAAAGCCCCACATCACCCCGCAAGACACTTCTCTCTGAGTCAGGAGGCCATGATCCGGTGGATCGGGAGCGTGGAGCCCTCGTCCGCAGACAGGTCGGTGTCGAGGAAGAGATGCTCACCCTGTGAAAAACTTGAGACAGTCAGCATTTTCGGGGTACTTATGATAGGGTGTGGGAGCTTAGTGACTTAGTGACTTCAGTTGTCAACAGGGGATGGACCTCAGAGGTGCTAGCACTCTGCAGGATGCTTCAAGCCGCACGTAAACAGACTGGCATCTCTAAACCGTAGGGGGCCCGAAGGGCGGATGTCGGCATGCACCATAATAAACCTGTGTCGCCGCGCGGATTCTGCACAAACAAATTCCCAACCATCGGGCGCCAAACCCTCGCCCAAGCAAGTCTCACCACCAGATCGACGACCCCCCCGGCCCCAAGCCGAAATTTTCTCAGCAGTTTCAAAGATGAGTAGTACCAGTCTCAATGTGTGCAGAGACAAGCCTGAGGAATCATTGATTTAGGAGCTGTACCAACCCCGGCATCCTTCGCCTATACACACTTCTTAGCATCGGCTCGTGTTCCTTTGAAAAACCACCCTCCACAAGAGAATGGGACCCTGCGTTGCCCTGCATTAAAGCTCTAAACCCGAAACCCTAAGACTGGGCAGGGCCTGGTTGGCGAAGCTCGAGAATGGCCGGTTCACCAGCGTCTCCTGGAGGGGTTTCTTGGGTTTTACGTGACTCAGGGTGGGACCTTTGGCGGGGGGACTTCATCCCATGACCTTGGCCTTTGGGGCTGGGTCGGGTGGCAAGGGTGGGCAAGGGCGGACCGGGGCCCAGATGCTGGTCTGCGCGGTCGTGAACTTGATGCGCGCACACGTGCTCTCAAGCTCTCGCCGCAGACATCGCAAAATCACAGCACCAAGGACCTTCGCCGCTCGCCCCAAACCTCACCATAATCATGATATAATAATCGTAGTAATGCTAATACCGACAAATAAAGAAACACAATAACCATCATAACCACGATCTGATGTATAAAGTAATAATAGTAATAGTCTTAATAACAAAATAATAATCATCATCAATATCATAATGGTAATAGTACTAATAATAAGGAGAAGAACAATAATCAGCATCATCATCATTATCATCATCATCATCATGATAAGAATAAGCAGAAGAAGAAGAATGATAATCATCATACTACTAATAATCGAAATGATGGAAATATTGGAAATACTGATACTAATGATACTAATAGTAATGATTCTAATGATACTAATGATACTAATGATACTAATGATAATAATGATAATAATGATAATAATGATAACAATGATAACAATGATAATAATGATAATAATGATAATAATGATAATAATGATAATAATGATAGTAATGATCATAATGATCATAATGATCATAATGATAATAATGATAATAATGATAACAATGATGATAATGATAATAATCATGGTAATAATGATAATAATGATGATGAAAATCGTAGTAGTAGTAGTAGTAGTAGTAGCAGTAGCAGTAGCAGTAGTAGTAGTCGTCGTAGTCGTAGTCGTAGTAGTAGTCGTAATCGTAGTCGTAGTAGTAGTAGTAGTAGTAGTAGAAGAAGTAGTAGTAGTAGTAGAAGAAGTAGTAGTAGAAGAAGTAGTAGTAGTATTAATAGTAATAGTGATAGTAGTAGTAATAGTAGTAGTAGTAGTAGTAGTAGTACTAGTACTAGTAGCACTAGTAGCACTAGTAGTACTAGTAGTACTAGTAGTAGTAGTAGTAGTAGTAGTAGTAGTAGTAGTAGTAGTAGTAGTAGTAGTAGTAGTAGTAGTAGTAGGAGTAGGAGTAGGAGTAGGAGTAGTAGGAGTAGTAGTAGTAGTAGAAGTAGTAGTAGCAGTAGTAGTAGTGGTAGA